GTTCCATATGATATCCTCGTAGAATCTGGGGTTAATTTGATATAACCATAAATATTCGCTCGGTAACTCTTAGGATCCGGGTGCCTATGCGGCGGAAGGAAAGTCCGGCTCGAGGCTAAAGTGGCACCTCGTGTATGCTTGCATAACTTTAATTCATCCATGCCTTGCACCCACGGGGTCTGGCTTATATATTCGAGACTCGAGCTCATGCTGCCATAGAGGAAATACAAGCCGTTCTAGCACTGTTTCTAGTATGATCATCAGGCAAACGGATCATCTCCGTGCGGAACCTGTATTACTGCAAGGGGACCAATATGTTATCGGTGATTTTAAATCGGATCTGCCTCAGCTACTCGAGCTAGTTTGGGCCTTGCCTGACGTGATATCACTCGAAACTCTAATTTCATGATCCCCCACATAGATATCCGACTACAGGGCACATAAGCTGGACATGTGTTTGTGGGTTGGTTTTCGTTCCACGAAGTCGATCGAACAGGTCGGGACCGAAAATGAGCCACCGGGAAATTCATTTGATCCGAATCCCTGAATCTTCCGGTCTTATTCTCACAAGCCAGCTGAAGATCCAGAAGATAATATTATAACGCGATGGACATATAGGTTAAGTGTATGCATGTGCACCCCACTACTGACAGTACTTTTGAAGGGATGCTCTCTTTTGCAACCCCCCCCCCCCTTAGCTAACAGGGATATACCTGCTTCGGCTACCACAGGTCGTACAAAAAATGTTGCGCATGAACTGGCTTCCGCTTAGCTTACCGAGAATGCCCTAAGTAGTGTGCTGTGGAAGTGGGGATAGGGGGTTATGAGATGAGAATAATGATTCAAAGATGCTTGACGGTGGAAATCTAGGTAGTCACACTGTGATACCATTGATATATTTGTGGCGTAAGTGAAACACAACTACCCTACAGACATGTACTCTACTCTGCTCAACCTAATTCAAGTCATGCAGTCAGTTGGTTTACAACTCGATTGTAGGCACTTTACGCAGGGACAGTGTATCACCACGGAAGGGCCGATTAGCGAAGGTCGTATTTTTATATTTAGCCTAGATCTGCATATACTTAGAGTAGGAATATACAGCTTGGGCTTCGGCGATATGTGAGGGGAGAAGTATTGCCAAGGACACGGTAGTATACGCATGCATATATGATGACTGGCTTTTTTCAAATAACTACGCTACAAGTACTTATCAGTACTTAACTGCATGTATGTAAACTGCCGCTGCAATAATATATGGGGGGGTTTAATAGCTATAACATTCATGTGGTATACAAAAATCACACCTTGTCTTGAATAATACAACTAACACCCAGCATGACACGAATTGTTAGGCTGGCTTATCTCAATAGGGAAATCGAGACTTCACAGCGCTGTCACTACACGTGTGTACACACATGTATCTCTCAATTCTTAGGGGGAGAACAGCGTTTATCTACATGGAAAAAAGTTCTTTTGAAAACGCCCCAAACCTAAACACACCTAGATATCTAGCTACTAACTACCATATCGCCGGCAAGAGAGAGTCGAGAGTCGAGAGAGAGATTGATCAGACATGACTGAGACATTCGCCACTTCAGCCTACCGTACCGTACCGCCGCCACCATTACTCCTCTAGGCATTTTCGTATCCATAGATCCTCGCGCACCGCATGCAGGTACTAATAACTCACCACCACCGGGGAGGGCCTGTCTGTAAAGAGTACCGACTGCCAAGAAGCCGGGCCTTCAACTACTAATGAAGCACTTCCAAATCAAGATAGTTAGAAATTTTTCTAAGATAGTGAAACTGGCGTTTTCCGTTCCGGATCGAATCCCCATGTAGACGCCTTTTTCCTCAAGGCCCCACTCTCCATTTCATTTTCTCTGATGAGGGGAGTCTTTGGTAATACCATCATCCCACTCGCATCATGGGACGAAAGTGAATCTAGAATCTCATCATCCGCCATACTAATCAACTAAACACCAAAAGGTCAGAGGTTTTTTCTTTCTGATTCAGATGTAATGATTTTAAGGTCGTGCCGAAAAATGGGGCTGAATCATGTTGGTAGCCAAATGGAGAAAGCATCTCCTATTGAACGTAGGCCGGCCGGTGCCACGAAATAAAAAATGAAAATAGTAAACAACATGTTTCTAGCTATCTAGTTAGCAGATCGAGAGCGTCCCGTAAGGCAAGGGCAAGGCAAGGCAAAGGGTACCTTCCCCTTCTTGAAGATCGAGGGAAATGCACAAGGCAGTCGAGGCGTTAAGTCTTTCCCCCCTTATTCCTGAAGTGGTCTGGTCTCGTGAACCACATTATCTCTCGCGAAAGAGATGGCATCTCTGCGGTTAGCTAGATCGTGGCATGCACATGTACAGACTTGATTCATATCACTGTCTGGGCGTTGTGGGGGCCCTGTGAAGAAATCGGCTGTGGGGGGGATATCTGAAGAGAGTTCATAGCAAAGCTCCTATCTTCATAGGTCTCGGATTTGATATATAAACCCCCTTCAGCTTCCTCTGGGAGCTCTTCTAACCAGTCAGCCAGAGTTCAAGAGCTCCATTCCTTCATTGGTATCTATCGGTTTATATACTCACCTTGTCACGATGCTTCGTAACATCGCCCTCCTCGCTGCTCTCTTCGCAAGCACACTCTCTGCCCATCCCCTCGAGGCAGTCAAAGAAAAACGTGGAGATGACGACTGGGTCAGTCCCGTCTATACTCGCATTTTCCGTAAGTTGTCAATCACAAACGATCACTCGTTCCTCTACTAATAGGCCACATTATAGAGGATCCTTTGGTCATCCCAACCCAGTTACAACCTATGACAACCTACACCAATGCCACAACTGGCGAGGTGTTTGACTTCTACCAAATGACCATTGACAACTTCCAAAAGCAGGTCTACCCAGGCCTCCAGCCAGCGGATCTGCAGGGATACAATGGGCAAGTTCCGGGACCCTTGATCAAGACGACTGTGGGCAGAAGATCGGTGGTTAGATTTATCAATAACGTAGCGAAGCCCGCGAGTATCCATCTTCATGGGTCACCGAGCAGGCCGGTTTTTGACGGTATGCATCAATTTGGTACACTATATGTAGTGAGGATCGAAATAGTGCTAATTGGTATGGTTGTTGCTTGTAGGGTGGGCGGAAGATACTATTGCAACAGGGCAGTACAAGGATTATGTTTATCCTAACTACTCCCCGAGGACTTTGTGGTATCATGATCATGCTGTCCGTAAGTATTCACTGGCTTCTCTGCTTGGTTGTTTGGCCAACTGGGTGGACTATATTGACTTATCCGGGCAGATATTACCGCCGAAAACGTTTTTCACGGCCAAGCCGGCACGTCTAAGTCCTTTTCGAGTATCCGATATAGTAGTATCGAAGCTAATAAATGAATAGGATTTTACTACGTTTCGGACCCTGCCCAAGAAGCTGCACTTGCACTTCCCCAGGGTGCTTACGACATCCCATTGTTGATCGTCGACAAGATATATCTAAGCAACGGCAAAACACTTTCTCCAGCTACTGAAGACACCAGTAAATCTCCCTCTCTTTCTAAGAGAAATACCACAGTTATTAATGTGATTTAGGTTACTACGGCGATGTCATCCATGTCAATGGCGTTCCATGGCCCTACCTCAACGTTGAGCCCCGCAAATATCGTTTCCGTCTACTCGATGGCAGTACCAGCCGCTCCTACAAAATGAGCATTGAGACCTCCGCTGGCGTCAAAGTTCCCATGAAGGTTATCGCTACTGACGCCGGTTATGTCGAGAACCCTGTCAATACCAACACCCTCATTTTCGCCATCGCCGAGCGTTATGAGATCGTTGTCGATTTCGCTGCCTATGCTGGGCAGACACTGGTCATGAAGAACGCGCGCGACTTCAGCAGAAATGAGGACTTCGCGCAGACTAATAAGATCATGCAGTTTAGAGTTGGAACCACTGTGTCTTCGACTGCCGGTAACGGGGCTGTGCCATCAACTCTGGTGGATCTGACCTTCCCAACCAATACTGGAACGATCGATAGACACTTCAAGTTTGAGCGCACTAATGGCGAATGGAGGATCAACGGGCTTGGGTTTGCGGATGTCGCCAATCGTATCCTTGCTAAGCCAAACGCTGGCGCGGTAGAAGTGTGGGAGCTGGAGAATAGCTCTGGTGGATGGGCTCACCCGATCCATATCCATTTGATCGACTTCAAGGTCCTTACTAGGAACGGAAGGGGGGTAGAGCCGTATGAATCGGCTGGTTTCAAGGTAGGACCTGTGTTTTCCATGTCATGCATGTAGGATTCTAACCAGGGGTCTTAGGATGTTGTCTTCCTTGACGAGAATGAGACTGTGACAGTGATTGCCAGATACCATCCATGGACTGGACAGTATATGTGTAAGTTCTCCCCATCTATCAATACCTCAAACGTTCGACCATACTTACTTTTGAAATAGTCCACTGCCATAACACTGTCCATGAAGACCAAGACATGATGGCTGCCTTTGATGTCGGCGACACCAAGGCCGTGCCTGCTCAGGGAGACCAATTCTCAGACCCTATGAACCCTACCTTCAGGGCTAGTGCCTACACTGGTACTAACGTTGCTCAACTCATGTCGGAGCGTCTGCCCTACTTTGCGGGTCTCGACATCTACTCGCAGATGCCTGTGTAATCGGTTAGGACTGTGTTTCTGGTTTGGAGGCTTTGGGTGGCCGGTATATACATATGTTACTTGCGGTTGATTATTTTCTTTTTTCCTTCTGTTATATGATGTAATTATATATGTGCGCTTAATTCAATGAAGTGTTGAATTGAAAATATGTTTTCACAGACAGCCAAACTGGTGCATAGCTTTGGTCGAGACTAGCTGTCACGGTCAATAGGCGCGGGTGGTGGTAATAGTAGAGAAGTATAAGAAGGAGGATAAGAAGGAGGGGGGAGAAGGAGGGGGATGGGAGGGGGGATGGGGAGGGGGGTGAGTAGAAGAACGAGTAGGATGAGGGGGGATAACGATGAGAATGAGAATGAGGAGGAGGAGGAGGAGGAGGAGGAGAAAGTAGCGTATCCAGCCAACGCCGAGCTTGTGTGGCTTATGAGGGCAAGCATTCTTATTTTCTTGCCTCAAGGATACGTTCTCGATGACATACAAGGAAAATGGTCCAATAGGACAATGAGCCTCGAGAACACTATCTGTTCTTGTCTCGAGGACCCTCAAGGACAGATAGAATATGCCTTTTATTCTTAAAGAAACACCGTCTTGGCCAGGACAAGCGCAGGGTATGAAAATGCCATGCGCAAGAACTCAGAGACACGGTGACCCGAGCTCAAATACCCGTCACTAGGGAGCAACCCTACCAATGTCAAAATGTTTCCTCCCTTAAGTGGGCGGCGACCATGTCAGCGGGACTGGTACTGATAACAGCGCATCACCCCACAAAACCCTGCGAAGTGATAGCAGAAATCTATTCTCGAGGCAAGTAGAGGAAGTGTGTTTTCTAAGCTTGCACATATTGGGATAAGTACTTTGCACTACTAGGAATACTATGTGTTAGTCAAATCACAAGCCATCACTCGACAGAATAGGTCTTGGCGCACATTGGTGATTTCTGGTGATCCAACAAATATTCGTCAACAAAAAAAAAAAAAAAAAAAGACAGAGGTCAAGGCAGCTGCGAGGAAACGTGAATAACCCCCCCTCTAGCACCAGCATAACATGATCCAGCAGTGCACCACCGGAAAGCACCACCCTTAGCCAACTTAAAACCCACTTCGATCAAAGATACCCACACCAATTTACAATCCCTCATCAATCTACAATCTCTCCTATCTATAACCAATTTCACCCTACAAGATGTGTACCCGCCGCCCCACCGCAAATCTTTCCTTCATCTGCTTCGCCGATAAATGCTTCCCCTGCCTCTGGGCCCACTGTACCCAAGTCTTCAACACCCCCGTCGAGCTCGACGTACGTTCCTCCTCCCCCCCCCCCCCCAAAAAAAAAATCACCACCATCCACTTACACCCCTCCCTCCCCACAGGTCCACCTACACACAATCCACCACACGCAACAAGTCCGCCGCGTAACCGCCCTCAACCGCCACCTCGCCGACGGGCGCCCCGAGCTGCGCCACCACCGCTGCCGCTTCGGCTCCTGCTCCGCCGGCACCGGCACGCACTTCGCAACCGCCGACGCGCTCTCGGGCCACCTGTCTGAGTTCCACGCGGGGAAGAAGCACTACCTGTGCCTGGCGTGCGCGCAGCGGTTCGTGAGCTACTGCGAAATGGAGGACTGGGGCCATGAGGGGTGGCATATGGCGCTGATGGTGCGGTCGAGGGAGGAGCATGTGGCGTGGAGGGTGGAGATGGAGACAAGGGGGAGGTGGATTGTGTGGGAGGGGGGTGGGGGGGAGGCGGGAGGGAATGGGGCAGGGGCTGGGGGAGGGGGTGGGGGTGGGGGTGGGGGAGGTTGGGTGGGGTCTTTGTAGGGGTTGGGTTTGGGGAGTTGGGCTGGGTCTGGTGGGGATTTACCGTTTGTCGGAAATGTCCATGGAAGTATCTAAGACTCAAGCTCCCCATCAATCTCCAACCCATACAATGAGGTATAAGAAGGTGTATATCTTATACTTTTAGGTCGGCCTTTGTATCTTTCATGCGTTTGTACCCTTGTACAATTGCCCGTAGCTAGAGTCTATACCTAAAAACAAAGTGCTAGTAGTATATTAGATCTGTTATACCACTTAAGAATTCCCCTAGCTATATCAGAAGAGCCAGACCTCCAATCCAACGCGTGGGCCGTGATTATAGCGTTAAACAACCCACAATACACTACACCAACGTCCTATATAACAACTACATGTACCGTCTGTCTCTACAAAACCAAAACATGTGCCATCTACTACCACTAGTGTTCTTTAATTTGTGGCAAGTCATTGAGGTGGTTGTTATTAAAGTTTCATTATGCAGTTTAATTGGACTATCCGTACTTTTTCTCTTAGAGACATCTTGTTCTCCCCCTTCCTTACTTCTACTCATCAGCTCATACAATATACTTTATGTTCCCGGCCGGCTCTCTATGGCTTCAAATGATCGTTCCAGAAAACAACCACCACTACCACTGTCACTAGATATTACTAGCTTTGCGTACAATAAATGAATCAACAACAACAACAAACATGATAGTACTAGCTCAGGTCCCGGAAACCGAGTGAGAATTCATGATCACATCCGCCCATCACCACCATCTCCGCCCATCTTATTATGCCTACCGTACCTACCTACCATAGTTATGCGAGACTCGACATCTACCATGATAAGGCTCTACAGCCTACAAGGGCTCATATACTTGCTACATGCGGCTATAGTACGCTCCAACCTATCTAGTTTCATGCCCATGGATTCAATGTACGTGTTACGTTTGTAATTAACGGTGACTTCAATCGATATCACTCATGCCCAGAGCTCTGGCTCAGATCCAAACCTCGACTCCCAAAACTCCAACGCCAACTCCAGCTCTAATCTCACCCAAACTCCCGTCCAAAACCCCACATCCCAAACACCCAAACTCCCATCCAAACACCCAAACCCACAACTCCAAACCCCAAACTCCAGACTCCCGATCGCGAGCTAGCTAGCTAAGGGGGCGGACGATAGGATAGCTACACGGCCGCGGCGGGCGTGATGGGGACGAGGGTGTACTGGAGTCCCGGAGACGGGGTAAGTACATGTTATGGACGTTGGGGTTTGAGTAAGGGTAGTGGGAGGGGTTTGAGGGGGAGTGTGGTGGGAGGGGTTTGAGGGGGAGTGTGGTGGGATGGGGGTGGAGGGTGTGATTAGTGAGATGGGATGGGACGGGTGAAGAGAGAGCAGTAGGTAGAACGGTATAGAACGGCATGGAAAAAAAGCGCGGGGATATTATTGACATGCAGCTCTCGGCCAGGAGGAGGAAAGAATAACGATAGAAGTAAAAAAAAAATAGAATATAAAAAAATAATACAGATTATACAATCCACTCGCAACAAAAAAAAAACACACAAAAAGAAGTTTTGACGATCGCGAAACAGAAACAGAAAAAACAACAAGTACAACCCGCAACCCAGCTGGCCCGCGCGCCCAATAATAAAAAAAAAAAAAAAAAAAAAAAGATCTCAACGAACCTCCCCCTTCTCCACGCCCCCCTCCACCCGCACACTCGAAAACTTCCCCTCCAGGCCCATCACTCTCTCCGTCAGCCACACCCTCACCCACACGATCCCCGCCACCACCGCCCACACCACACATATCGCGACCGCAATGCCCACACAATACGCCGCCACCATCCCATTCCCCGTCTTCGGGTCCAAAAAGCCGTAAGTGTAGAATCCTTGAGTCGCATGCGTGATATACGCCACACAAAGATACCCGGCGAGAAACAGGATCAAGAACGGCAGATGCGTCCACGACGGCACAGCCGCCCGCGTCAAGAGGATCTCGAACAGCGCAAACACGCTGTTGAGCAGGTGCGCGCTGATGTTGCTGTATGCGCTGACCTGCGTTCGGAAGGGAGAGTCGTCGGCGGCAAGGATGCCCCAGTACACGATTGTCCTGTTGGGAGAGGGTGTGGTTAGTTTTTTGTTTCGGGGTGTGTCAATGATCGGGGCGGCGGGCGCCAAGACGGGTATTTAACCAGCGGGGGATGTGATGCTACCCAACACCCGCCCTAACAACCGCAACAGAGAGGGATGGAATACTTACACCAAGAACGGGAACGTGACGACACTAGTCCACCACACGGCATGGGCGACCGCCCACCCGCCCTTCAGCCAGGCCGCACGGCGCCCGCGCAGCGCATACAGCAGCGTGTGCAGGCCCGACACGCCGAAGTAGAAGCCGAGGCTCCAGTAGGTGATGTTTGTGAAGTACGAGAAGCTCTGGCGGGTGGAGAGGCTGCCGTCGGAGATGGCGGAGTAGGCGATGCGGTAGAGGAGGTAGGTGAAGATGTAGACGGAGATGGTGAGGCGCGTGCAGGCGAGGAGCAGCGGCGGGAGCGCGTAGGAGGTGGTGAAGCGGTGGGTGGGGTCGAAGGGGTGCGGGGAGAGGGCGGTGAGGAAGGTCATCGTGGGGACCTGTGGGGGATATCGGGGATCGGCGGTGTAGATCTATCTGGGTCGTGGGTTTTGGGTTTTGGAGGCGAATATGTCGTGCAGACGTGTGATGGGTTGTGATGGGTAGAGTGTTGTGCCTCGGGGATGAACTGTACGGGGATGGAAGGAGGGAATCTCTCTCTCTCTATTACTCTCTGCCCAGTACTTCTTCTCCTCTCTCTCTCTCTCCTCAGTGCATGTATTCCAGCGAATGCTGCTGGTGGTGGCACAGTTATACCAGTTCCTGATAGGCCAAAGGGTAGCAGGCCTGTCTCGCTTCAGCTGAGATTTCGTGGGATTCGTGAGGTCCGCCAGCAGCGCCAGGAGGGTTTCAAAGGGTCCAGAAAGCGAAATGGGGGAATGAGAACGGAAAGAGAGGCGTTCTACTTACAGGTGGACATACACACACTTACATGTACTCTACTCACTCACCTACCCACTTTCCCTCTACAGCGATGGTACATAGACATCTACCTGCCTCGATGCATATCGCCTATCTATATCGCAGGCTATATGCAGGCCGAAGAAGCTACTAATAAATAACAGGTAAAACCTCCTCACCGGCCGGCCTGCCGACCGGCGGTCTTGGTCTTACGCAGCTGTCATGAGTTGTCGCTTGTTTGACCCGGGGGCTCACCAACCGAGGCACACCAGTGGAAGACCCTTCTCTACCCAGGGCCTGTCTCTACCTAATATTAATACCCTTCTGTGGGCCTTCTCTCCCCTAGGTAGCCCTACTACAACCCTGACTGTGGCTTACAACGCTGGCTCCACCAATACACCAATACTAGCCACAATCAAAAGTCATGCAGGGACCTCACAGTAAATGAAACAGAGTTTTTTCGGGGCTGTCTCTTGTGCCGACCCGAAGGGGGGCGAGATCAGCGGGAATATAATGGGGAATAAGAATAGGGGGCTCGAGTGGTCATGGGATTCATTCGCTTGTTAGGGTAGTGATTTGGCTGTTGCAATTGGTGAAGAAGTATGTACCAGCCAGAGAAAAAGAGCTGAATTTGGCATCCTGGGATATTCACTAGCTTGTAGGTAAATACAGACAGACAGACAAAGTTTGCTTGCATCTACAATTAGAGTATTACCACACCTCACCTCACATCACATCCAGGGCTTGGTTGGGGTGGCGCGCGCGACACGCTCTCTCTACATCTGCCCTACCTTAGACAATCTCTCCAATCTCTACCTCTACCACTACATGTAGCCTCACAGCCTATTACAGGACCAGATACAGATTACAGTACCACGGTCCAACAGAGCAGACGCAGGTACGGTAGGGTAGGCAGGCACACGCGCCTTCGTCATGCACAATGATCTAACCAGGGCCCCCCCGATTCCCTTTCTAATCTTACTTTTCCTCTTCTTAGTTAGGGTGTGTAGAAGTTAGTTTCTCCTGTCACCGCGTTCGGGGATCGGCAGTGGATGCGTGGTGGATGCGTGGTGGAGGGTGTGCATGAGATCTAAGATGGATGCATGTACTCTTTGTAGAGAGACGGAACAATGGAAAAGGGGAGAGGGGGAGGGTGGGTGGGCTTCATTCGTGTATCTACATAGAGGTTTGGAGGTACTCTATGTAGGAAGGAAGGGAAAAGAGGGTCAAGCAGTAGCTACGTAGGGAGGGTAGGGAAGGGGGCTTTCTTAAATCTGCAGAAAGAAGAGAAACTCTACGGGCACCACCAGTGGAAAGGGGGGGAGGGGGGGGGGGGAGTGAGCGGAGGATTTGGGCCTGAATAGGCGATGCGCGGGCCGGGGCCGGGGATTTACAGACAGAGTATGGACAGGGGAGAGGTAATTAAGAGTAGAGTAGAGAGTAGAGAGCGGGTGCTTTGAGAGTATGTACTATGTAGGTATGGAGGTACATAGGCAGCATGGACTTTTGATGCGTGTAGGTAAAAAGTATTTAGAATAGCTGTTATAAATTTCTAATATATACGGGAGGTAGCGGGCCAGCATTGTAGGCCTGTATCCGGGGTGTCTCCTGATGATGATGATATGAGGAGGCCTAGGAACGGGGTGTCTCCGGTCTGCAAGAGAAGTTAATCTACACCGCACAATTCGAGAAGGAGGGAAATAGTGTGGAATGCAATTCTGTAATAATAATAATATAATTATAATTATAATAGCCCGCTTCTCTTATTTACTCTAATGCTCCTCGTCCACTTGAGTGGTTGTTTTCGACATTTGCACCTCATGTAGCTTAGAGTAGAGGTGCAATTGAGGGCGAGGAGGGAGGGTACCTGGACCGTTAATCTACCCTACCCTCACTCGCCCTCTGCCTGCCTACCCAGGTATCGAGCGGGCATGGGTTGCCCAACCAGAAGCCGTTTCTACTGGCTGCAACCCCGGGAAAGGAAGGGCCTGGGCGTGTCTCACTTGGGTCAGGTTGCCCGAGAAAGAGACTGAGAGGCATACTGGTCTGTGTTTTGTCTGTATGTCTGGTGTATGCTGGGTAGCTCATCCAGGTAGAGTACTCTAACTAAACACACAACATCCCCGGTCGATCATCTTCCCTTTCTTCTAGTGCTTCTTTTACTCTTTCTCTCTCTCTCCCTGAATTGAACTTGTTCTTCCTTTTCTTTCTTCCCCCCCCCCCTCTTCTCCTTCAACCCCCCCCCGACCACCACCCCCCACACCCTGGTAGATTTTTTTCTTGCTTTGGGGGATTAGACTGCGTTGTGTGTTCTGTTTTTTTTTTAACTTACTTTCTCGACACTCGTTTGGTTTTCTCTTTTTTGTGTTGAAATTCACTCTTTGGGTTCTTATCCCGTACGCTCCTTTATCACACCTACCCACCCACCGGGCCGCTTGCTATCCCCGCCGAGAAAAAGATACATCGGCCCCTAACCAAACCAAGCAAAACGAATAGACCGTTTCATCTGCATTGCGGGTCTTGGGTGGGTTTCTGAACTGCACGACGTGTGTCCGTGTGTAACTCGCAAGGTAGCTAGTTCAGTCCAGTTCGATTTGAGTTCGGTTTGAGTTCGTGTTCATGCTTTTCTCTCCTCCTGCAACGTCCTGCACAGCACCGAACCTCATTCATACCCACTGCAACTGATCGAACCTCGCCGAAGTCACTCGTTCTGTTTGTTTTGTTGACTCGACTGGAGTGAACTGGATTTTTTTTTTTTTTTTTTTTTCCTTCTTCTTGTGCTTTGGTTTGTGTTTTTTGTGTGTGTGAGTGTTTGAGTGTTTGCTTGTTGGTTACCTGCTTGCTCACTCGACTCGGCGAAGATTAGACGGTTCGATTCATACTCGCTCACTCGTGCATATACGGACGGAAGCAGATCAGGAAGCAAACAACACAGAACGGAAAACGGAAACGGAACACATAGAAAGTGGGGAGAGAGGGAGTAATACTTAATTACTGGTATTATTACTACGACGGCTACTACTCACTACAAACCACAATCTACAATCGAAATCTTCAACGACGATAACTGCTACGGCATTCACATATATACACAAACGCACCCCACCACCCATCCGCACCCGTAACCCCCCCCACGCTCCTTAATCCGGCACCCAGCAGCAACTGCAGCAATATCAATACCACCACCCACCAACCACAACGCACACCACACAATGCAGCAAGACCCACACTCCCCCTTCCGGCACCTCATGCCCAACGCCGGCGAATTCACACCCGAGATCTCCCCCCTCGACGAATTCATCAACCGCGGCCGCCTGCTGTCCAAGCAGCTAGGCGTCACCTCCCGCACCGGCTCACCCACCCTCACACCCCTCACCGTCCACGCCTCGCTCCGCCGCACCGGCCGCTCCCCATCACCGCTCTCCCGCTCCCGCACCGTCGGCCGCGACTCCATCGGCGGGCCCATCACCGGCTACCTCAATGTCGCGCCGTGGGCACCGGGCAGCGGTGGCCCCCAACAGCAGCCGCAGCAGCAGCAGCAGCAGCAGGAGGACCGCCCGAGCAGCTCGTATCCGCGCTTCAGCACGATTAGTAGTGCCAGCACGGAGGCGGGGGAGGAGGAGGACTACGACGAGGATGGTGCGAACAGGGACTCGGTGAGAGATAGTAACTTCACGCTGATGGGCGGGTTCCTGAACGCGGACCGCAGCCCGCCGAATCTGGGCAGCGTGGTGGGGAAGCGGGGCGTGGAGTTCGAGCAGGTGGGGAGGGTGTCGTTGAAGCCTGTGATTGTGGGCGAGGATGCGGCAGGCGTGGAGGATGATGAGCAGCAGCAGCAGGAGGACGTGGAGGTGTCGCCGCGGAGCGGGAAGGTGCTGCCGGTGCAACAACAGCAGAGCCAGCACCAACACCAACAGCACCAACACCAACACCAGCAGCAGCAACAGCAGGGCGGCTATGCGGCCTACCGCGCCGGAAGTGAGAGGGGGCGTGACCGGGGCCGGGACGGCGAGGCAGCCAGGCGGCAGCCGCCGGTACGGCAGGCGTCCGACACGGGCGACTACAGGCCGCACCATCTGCAGCAGCCCCACCACACACACCCGCAACCGCACCCGACACGACAGGACTCGGTCGGCACAGCGTACCCGCCGCGCCAGGACAGCACGCACAAGTACCGCCCCTACAGGCAGGACTCGAGCTCCTCCGGCGCGACATCGATGGGCGGGCTGTCCAGGCAGGGCTCCGCCGAGAGCGAGGTGTTCCCGCCACCGCAGCAGCGGCAGGGCTCCATTGCACCACTATCGAGACAGGGCAGTGCGGAGAATGAGATGTTCCCGGGGAGGCAGGGGAGTAATGCGGATAGGCTGCACCCACACAGGAATGACTCGAGGGGGGCAGAGGGTAGAATATATCCCCGCAGCCCGAACAGGCAAGGGAGTGGCCAGCAGGAGGGCGGCGTCAAGTACATGCCGTACCGGGCGGGGCCGCCACCACCGCTATTGGGGCTGGATAGGGACGATAGGAGGCCGTCGCTGGGACAGGCGGGGAGGAGGCCGTCGAGGCAGGATTCTCACGAGAGTGATAGGGGCCGCATGATGAACCGGGGCCTGCACAGCGAGCCTCTGTACCACCCGGGCCCGCAGCGATCGCCCACGCACTCGCCCGCGCCCATGATCCTGCCCATGATGGCGGGGATGAGGGCCGAGAGCCCCGAGGGGATGGTCGCGGAGACTTGCGAGCACGACGACTTCCAGTTTGGGCCGCCCACGCCCTCGTACCAGTTTGAGGGCCCCCCACGCCCGGGTTCAGCAGCGTCGATGACGCCCAGTCTGTATTCTATTGGGGGAACACCAAAGCCTGTGTTTAACTTTTCGAGGCCACTGAGTAACAGGCCTAGTATGGATACTATGTGCCCGACGCTCGAGATCCCGGTGAAGTTGACGCCGGAGCAGAGTCCCGTGTTCCCGGATGAGTATTCTATTCCGACGCCTGTGTCGTTGAGTGAGGACCACACGGATCATGAGGGCGCACCGACGGTTGTGTACTCACGCTTCGCACTCCCGCGCGGTAGAATGGTGGACAGGAGCTCTGTTATATTTACTGAGCCCCAGGCTGCGACTCTCTCCTCCTCAGACACAACACCGGCTCCAGCAGCAGCAGCAGCAGCAGCAGCAGCAACACCAGCACCACCAGCAATCCAGCAGCCAAAACCACAACGCCCAACACTAACACGCACCCAGACCGATACACCATCATCGTCAACAGACAGACTCGCACCGGGCTCCTCCTCGCCCACAATGTCACACCTGCAGCCTTCTCCCGCCAGAGACCGTGCCGCAACATACAACAGTCGCTCTCCAACTGCTTCACCGAGACTTCAACTCCTCTCGCCAGGCCCACGACCAAACACCGCCGGCGGCGTCTCGCCGCGCACACCCCGCTCACCAGCATTCAACATCCCGCCCGCCGGGCCCACGGCCGCAGCACTCAGCCCCGAGGACCACGTCACCAAGGGCATCGCCCTACACGAGAGCGGCTCGCTCTCTGAATCAACCTACCACCTTCGCCTTGCGGCGAACGGGGGACATCCGACGGGGATGCTGCTGTACGCGCTGGCGTGCAGGCACGGGTGGGGCATGAAGGAGAACCCGAAGGAGGGCGTGATGTGGCTGAAGAAGGTGACGGAGCTGGCGTCGAACGAGGTGGCCGACGACGAGCTGAAGGGGGAGAAGGCGGATCTGTTTGAGAAGAAGGGCAGGAGGGCGCAGTTTGCGCTCAGTATTTATGAGCTTGGTGTTAGCCATATGAATGGGTGGGGCACGGAGATGGATAAGGGGCTGGCGGTGAGGTGCTTTGAGATTGCTGGACGTGAGTTTCTTCCTTTCCTTTTGCCTGGGGGGTGGTTTGGGGGCGGTTTGCTGACTGGGTGCGGTTTGTAGGATGGGGTGATCCAGATGCGCTTGCGGAGACAGGCTTCTGTTATGCCAACGGCGTTGGCTGCAAGAAGGATATGAAGAAGTCGGCAAAGTTCTACAGAATGGCGGAGGCGAAGGGCATGAACATGCCCGGCAACTCGTGGATCTGGAAAGACAAGTACCTCGACGACGAGGACAGGGCCGCGAAGAAGAGCAAGGCCGAGGAGAAGAAGAAGAAATAGTAGATTGAGAGGAGAGGACGAATTTTCTATGTTCATTATTCCCTTTTTTTTTATTTGCTGTGCGTGCGTGCGTTAGAGGAAATGATTGTGCTTACTAGTGCCTTTTTATTTTTTTATTTTTTTTTTGCTTTGTTATTGTTATTGGGTTTTTCTTTGAGTGCTTCTCTTTGCGTCTTGTGTGTTTTTTTTCCTTGTGTTTTTGGTTTTTTCTTTTTTTGTTTTCGGTTGGCTTTGGAGCTGTACTATTACTATAAACTTCTGTACTTGTAGGGTACATACTGACTGGCTGACTGACTGACTAGGTGGAGTGGATCAAGGGAGGGAGGGATTATCGGATACCATTCTGGTTTATTATTTTCTATTTTTTTTTTTTCTTGTCTTTTCTCTTTTTCTCTTTTTTTACATACCTTTCCTTCTATTTTTTTATGTCGAACATTTTCTACTACTACCACCCCTACCTCTATTTCGATTCGATTCTTGCACCAGCACCCCGCTAGGAGGGGAACAAGCTTAATCAAAAACCAGCAACACGCTCACGGGGTCAGCGTTTTTTTTTTTTTTTTTTATTCCTTATTTCTTATTCTGTATTTCTTATTCTATATTTTTTTTTTTGTGTGTGTGTGTTTTTTTCATATATACGTACGTATACTTCTGGGATATTATTCTTACTATTTGGGTCTTTTTTTCTTTCTTTCTTTCTTGTGTCTTGTTTCTGTGTGTGTGCATCATGTGCATTGAAGTGTATCAATTCTTCTACCTCGGCCTGGTTTCTTGCTGTCTAGTCCTTCTTTTTTTTTTTTTTAGCATCAGCATCAGCAGCAATAGTAGCCTGAGCCGGATGGCGGTATATGCAGTATCAGAAGTATTAGCGATTTGACCTCCCCTGGTATGCTGTGCTGTGCATGTGAGGATGTAGAATTGAGGAGGGGTTAGTATTTTAGTTTTTTTTTTTGCGGGAGAGCACTGGGAGTGGGGTACGAAGGGCGTATATATTGCAATTGCAATTGATTGCGGTGCGTAATAGACATTTGGACCCTGATCTTGCCATTGATGGTGGGGGGGGTTATGTAGCAAGTATTCATACAGTGCGTATATGTAGTACGAATCGATTCAAGTTGGTACTGAGTGAGTGAGTGAGTGCGTACAGACGGAGACGGTGTGCTGAGAGATGTCGATGTTCTGCCGGGAACGCATTGCAAGATTGGGGACAAACGCTCACCCGTGCCAACAAATACCCGCATCCCGGTCCTGCCTGCACGCACGCACATGCATGCACGCCGCAGATCGCCACGTGACATGACGCTTCTTGGCCCGTTCGCGGTGAACGTCACCCGTCCCACCCATCCCACTCCTCCCACTCATCCCACTCATCCCACTCATCCCACCATCCATTGCCCAACAACAACCACCACCACAGTCCGTCAATCGACACAAACAAACCCCCCCAGACCACAAGAAACAATGGCCGACCACCTGCACGAGCAGCTCACAAACCTCGCCTGGACCCTCAAGTCCCAGCTCTTCACCGCCGCCGACATGCTCGACCGCCAAGCCGACCTCGCCGCCACGCTCATCCGCGAGACGCTCTCCACAACCACCTGGCTCCCCGAGGCCGCGCGCCCCCCGCCGCCGCCGCCGCCCCCCACTGGCACGACTCGTCCCCCGAGCGGGTCTGGGGCGGTGGGCGAGGGACAACAAGTGGGCCGTCGGCATCGTTGTCGCGACGGGCGTCGGCATCGGCGCGTGGGTGTACGGGAAGCGGAAGCAGCGCCGGCGCGCGGGGAGACGGGCGCGCAAGGCGGCGGACGGCGGGAGGAAGGAGGTTGTGGGTTAGTTTTTTTTCAAAAGCCTGTTTTGCTCCTTTTTTTTTTGTGTGGGACGGAGGGCTGATGGGAGGGCGGTGTGTGTGGTTAGTGCTGGCGGGGTCGCCGCATGATCCGGTGGCGAGGAGTCTGGCGCTGGACTTGGAGAGGAGGGGCTTCATTGTGTTTGTAGCTGTTAGCACGGTGGAGGATGAGCAGGTGGTGATCAATGAAGGCCGCGGCGATCTCAGGCCGCTGAATATCGATATACTGGATGTCTGTGAAAACCTCTCTCTCTCTCTCTGCTCTGTCCGCTTTTTTTGTTCCCAGTCCATTCCATTCCATTCCAGCGCTCCGAGATATATGATGTCGATATATATACACACATATACTGACACTTTTGCCCCCCTCCCCACCACCAGCCCGACTCCTCCCAATCCGCCATCGAAAAGCTCCAAACCTACCTCACCACACCCGTCCCCTCCTTCCCCGGCGCACACCCCCACCGCCTACACTTCGCGGGCCTGATCCTCCTCCCGACCGCCTCCTACCCCACGGGCCCGCTCGAGACCCTCCCGCTCGAACACTGGTCCGACACGCTCAACCTCAAGCTCCTCTCCCCCATCCTCACCGCCAAGCTCCTCCTCCGGCCCATCCGCGAAACAGGCGCCCGCATCATCCTCTGCACCCCAAACATCATCCGCCCCCTCGCCCCGCCCTTCCACGCCCCCGAATGCGCCGCCGTCGCCGCGCTGCACAGCATCGCCGCCGCGCTGCGCCGCGAGCTCGCGCCCTCCGCCGTCGCCGTGTGTCTGATGAAGCTCGGCACGTTCGACACCGCGGCGGCGACGCCGGGCGCGGGCGCGGGCAAGGGCGTGCAGCTGCTCAACGCGGCGCGCGCAGACATACTCGGGTGGGCGCCGGGGGCGCGGGCGGCGTATGCGAGGGGGTATGCGGCGATGCGGGCGGGGGGCACGGCGGTGAGGGGGAGCCCGCTGAGGGAGCTGCATTTGGCGGTGGCGGAGGCGCTGACGTGTGCGGTGCCGAGGAAGGTGGTGTATGTGGGCGAGGGCAGCGTGGTGTATGAGGTGCTGGGCAGGTGGGCGCCGGAGTGGCTGGTGGGGTGGTGGTTGGGTGGTGGGGGCGGGGGCGGGGGCGGGAGGGAGGAGGGGGGCTGGTGGGGTGTGGGGAATGGCAATGGCAATGGCAGTGGCAGTGGCAGCGCGGGGGGGAGTGCGAGTGCGAGTGAGGGGGAGTGGGAGAGGGTTTAGAGAGGGGGGCGGCTTATCTTCCTTGCTCTCTCTCTTTATTTCTTGCTTTCTGTTTTTTTCTTTTGTGTGCTGCCTGTGTTTTCTCTTTAATTTCCTCTCCGGTACGTTAGTTCCCTAGCTGGGTGGTTATCTGCTGTTTCTTCCTTCGCCTTCTCCTCTCATCCCCTTCCCATCTTCTTCACATGTCTGTATCATTCCCTTCAAGTGTCTATCTCGTGGGTGGCCAACTCCTTTTGTCTCTTTTTTCATCTGCTGTCTTTTGTATGTAGGTACACCAATTCCAGTGTACTCGCCTTCGTGCCTCCATTTCCATTTCCACCATCGACCTAGGAATCACAGGATATCACTCGTCATTCCATGGGGCTAGGGTCGGCGGAGCCGGGTAGTATACGTTTATGATCTCCATGAAGCAAACAAAGTAAAGAGCCGAGAAACGTAGGTGTGGACTGATGAGTAGAAGCAAAGGAGAGAGAGAGAGAAAGAAGGCTCCCTATTTATAGGTATTGCTTAGAGAACAAGATGTCTGTACAGATAGTCCAGTTAAACTGCATAATGAAACGTTAACAGCAGCAACCACAATGACTTGCCACAGATTAAATAACACCGGTGGTAGTGGATGACACATGTTTTGGTTTTGTAGAGACGAACGGTAGGCTAGCTGGATCCGTCTTGGAATAACATGATAGTGAACAGAAGTGAAGAGGCGCTACAGAAAAATAGAAGAAAAAATAACTAGATAAAAAGAACACAAGCACACCTGCTCAAAAACGACATCAAACAGTTACATAGACCGTGTGCACCTGCGGCAAGAACATTATCTGATCCCTACGGATCGATGGCCAAACAGAAGTCCATATACCCGACACGATACCCCCCCCCCCCACACAGCACACCCACCCCCAAAACCACCACCCCCTCTAAGCCCCTCTAAGCCCAACCCTCACCCTCACCACGCCACATCCCGCACACGCCGGCCACTCCACATCGTTCGTGCCTCTACAATTCCCGCAGTCCCACATCCTCCTCGCCGGCGTCACCGGATTGATGCCAAACCTCACCCGCTCCCTCTTCCTGGCCGACGCCGATCTCCGCAGTCCTCCTGGCGGCCTGGCACTTCTACTTGGGACTGGTGGGGCATCGAGTATCTGGATTTCTTCTTGTTGTTCTGTTCGCTGCACGCCGCAGGCATCGCAGTTGGGGAGCGATATGGGGTTTATAAGTGTGCAGAGATTACAGGTCCATGTACGTTCGCTTGGCCTGTTCTGATGTGATGCTGGGCGCTCGAGGTCGATCGGTGCATGTCTACTACCCCTGCTCCGCCCGGAACCCGACGGTCTCGAGCGCGGGTGCCTAGCCCCCGCATCCGGCACTCTCGCCGCAGGCACCGGGACATGTATTGGCTCCTCCTCATCGTCAATCCAGACATACCCATCCTGCTCCAACCACCGCCTCCTCCTGCTCTCCTCCTCCTCGCGCTCCCCAATCTCAATCAGCTCTATCGCCGCCTGCAGAATCGCCGCCTCGTCCGCCTCATCCGCCTCCGCCTGTGTCCGGAAGCCATTCCTGATAGCCCTTTCCGCGTCCTCCTCGATCCGCCCCCTATCCCTGCCTCCAGTCTCGCCCCCGCACGATCTCGGCGCCCTGATTCTCTTGAGCACCGCGCTCGCAATCCGCTCCCTCATCGTCTCCGGTGCATGAGGATTCGCCGGAGCACTGCCGCTGCCCAACCGCTGCGTAGACCCCGTGGTCTGGACACGTCGTTTCTCGGCCGCAGCCAACGCCCGCCGGCGGGCATCGGCGATGGTGGACGGCCTCGGCGCTCTTCCGGCGCCGAGGCGGTTCCCCTCGGAGCAGAACCCTTCGCCGTTGTATCCGGCTATGCGGGCGGCTATGTATTCGTCTTCGAGCCCCTTGAGGTACGCATGGAACACCTCGTCGTGCGGGCCATGGAGGTTGTGTGTAAGTCTAATCACCAGCCGGGCGGATATTAAGCAACAAAAGCCAACAGCCACAAGTGTGATACACTGGAAGGAGTATGTACTCATGGAGCATGGTGTACACGCAGTCTTCAAGCGCCAGAAACGTGTTCTCGTCGTAGGGCTGGCGCAGCCGGATGCAGATCTTGCGCCCGCGGTCGATATTCAGCCCTATTTGCCCATCCCATTAGCCCTCGGCCCTTTTTCATATAGCTCCAGCATCACGGTAAGCTAGCTGGCCGGGCGGGGAAATACCGAGCAGATTATGTTGCGCGGGATAGAACTCTGCCAGACAGCCGACGGTGAATCCACGCTTCACCATGATCGGTTTGACCAGGCTCGCGATTTTGCGCAGCATCAGGAGGGCATGCTGCTCCCGCGGCTTCTCGCGTATGTGCACATAGGAGCCAATAAGCTGTTTTGAGGCCATGATATCGGTGCGGAGATATGTAGTCAAAAAATCAGTGATATGATAGTGAGACGAAGCGTAGATATGAGCATGAAACAGCTATCAAGCGAGCGGTGCGGAGCTTAAATAGTGCAGGCTACTGGGACTGGGGGAGCAGCAGGAAACAGCTTCTATTGAGAAGCAAACAAGGTGGCAGGAAGCTGTTGACTGACTGGCTAAGAAGAAGAAGAAGAAGAAGAAGAAGAAGAAGAAGAAGAAGAAGTCATGCCCCCGTGCCTTCTTGAATGCTGGTTGTGGTGGGGCGTGAGTGTGAGTAGTCAGAGCCTCCTCTCCTTATCGATCGACCCGAAGAAGAGATGGTTGGTCCAGGTATCGCCCGCCGTCAAGCTTTTCCGTGAGACATGGTAGCGCACGTAAGCCGCGGGATTGGCAGGGGACTAGGAGATGCCACAACGTTTCCTGTCAGTGATGTGTTATATCGGTAGCACAACTTTCGAAAGCCATCAGTTTTTTAGGCCTAAGCAGAGGGCACAAAGATATAAGAATATTCGTGAGCTTGTGGAACTCTAGATCACAGTCTAACCATGTAATCAGTGAGATCAGATCCCTTCCCTCCTTTCATATATAGCTGCCCCTGCTGAATATCAACTACCATTTCCTGTAGAATTCCGATGGCATAATACTCTTATGAGAGGAGGCGAGGTATGTAGCCTTGGAATACTACTACCGAAAACAATAGAAATGCAATATGTAAATAAATTAGTTAACTGATGGTTTTTATAAGAGACTGAGGAGAACCGAATTTCATATTGAATTGCATGTAATTATCAACGACAACTGAAGGAATAGACTAGCTCCTTTTATAGTGAAAAAAGGACGTGATAAATAAAACACGTATCATCAAAAACCTGTTGTCTTGACACAGTACCAATAACAGATAGCAAAGACTAGCTGTAAAAACAACAGATATTAATCTCACTGCATATCTCTCTGTGGAGCAGAATCCCAGGGCTCTTTGTATATCCCACACATGCGAGCCCGGTATTAATTAACAGCTCACACCGTTTGCTAAACTTCCATATATTTGACCTTCGCCTTTTCTACTATACGAACTTTGCCCATCGAACGCTGAACCGCGTTTGTAACGGCAAAACTGGCTGCTGATACATTGGAGCCACAGCACCACCAGTGAAGACAACCCGCTACCGCACACACCGTTATTTTATTTCTCAAGTAATCCACTATCCCCGCTTAGCTAGCCAAACGTCAATTCCGGGCTACAGCTAGAAGAAGCGTGTATCTGCACGTACGAGCACGTCTGCCAATTCGCCCAGGCACGGTCCGGACTTACCACATACAACTACGGAGATAGTGGTAGTGGACCCCTCGAAGATAAACCCGACGAGAAAACACCCCAGCAAACAATTTCCAATCCAACCCATTCTTTGTTTTCAAACTATTGTATTGTACCAACGGGGGGGCTTTGTCGATGCTGCGTGTCGCACTAAGCCAAGCTCGATTAGACCCACAATAGCCACGCACCAAAAATAAGCTTGGCGCTGATCGAGTGAGAACACGTGCAAATATCTCTAAATCCAAATACTATGTGCATAGTTCCCAAACCCGACACCTCAACCATTGGCTAGCTGGCAATGCGTACCGATATACATGGCTGGCTACGTAAAGGCCTGCTCTGAGCATTCTCGACAGGCAGCTGGGTACATGGAGGCTCTTGCAGTCTTGTGAAAATGGGGGAAGCTGTTTCTCGTCCGCCCGCCCGCTCTACATGTCTGCACCAACTCCATACTCATACTCATGCTCACCCTCAATCCACTACCTCACACCACAGCTGTACTGTATCGACCACTAAACCCTCATCACCTCCATCCCCACCACGTCCCCCTGCAGCTCCCCCCCCCAAACCACAATGTCAGCCATGCTAGCCCCCATGCTCGGAGCCATGGTAATCTGCCGCGGCGTACGTCCCCCCCCCCTCACATCCACATCCCCCGAGTCCTCCATCTAACACTCCCGCAGATCGCCCGCTTCATCGGCTACCCCCCCTCCCTAGACCCAACCTTCACCAACGCCCCCCTCCTGCACACCTTCTCGGCGACCCTCGACGCCTGCGCCCAATCCCACACCCTCTGGCACCTGACCCCCACCGACGTCGCCACCATCTTCGCCCCCCTCCTCGACTACGCCTCCCGCACCTCCACCACCACCACCTCATACCTCGCGCAGCTCCACCCCACCGACATAGCCCACACCCAAACCCACCTCACCTTCGCCACCGCCCACACGCTCACAACCGACCTCGACACCCTCACGCGCGCACACAACCCCTGGGCCCGCTGGTTCGGGCTGATCCTCTACACGCAGACGCTGGCGCACCACGGGCACCCGCGGCACCTGCACGGCACGCATCCCAACGATGCGAATTGGGACGCGAATGTGGGCGCGTACGAGATCCCGCTGCTGCTGGCGGGGCGGCTGGGGGAGGAGATCGTATGCCCCCCCTTTCCCCTCACACTCGTTCAGGCGGCATCATACTGACGGAAAGATGGGGGCGACTAGGCATCCGAGAACTTCTTCACCGCCTGCCAGACCCTCCACGGCCACATCATCGGCTACAGCGCCTTCAAGCGCAGCTTCCTGCGGCTGTCCGCCCTTATCCCCGCGCCCTCTCTCCCTCTCTCCCCACCGCCCGCCGCAGACCCGTTCCTCTCGCCGCACTGGACCATCGCGTCTGAGCTTCGGGGGCGCGGCGCGTTCCCGCTGTCGCCGCGGATGGCGCTGCTGCTGGCGGGGTCGACGGAGGAGAGTACGAATACGAACTGGCTTAACCGGGGCCGGTATGAGAGTGCGCCGCTGAAGGGGCTTGATGGGCGGTGGGAGGGGTGTGGGGGTGGGGTTGGGGTGCGTTGTGTGAGCTGAGCTGTATACTATCGTATCGTATCGTACAGTGGATTCTCTCTTCTTTTTCTGCTTTGGTTGTGTTTTGTTGTATATCTAGATGGATTGGGTGAGTGGGGGATTGTGTGAATAGATATCTTTCGTAGCGGGGGAGTCTCCGGAGTTTGGGTTGAGATCTGGTTTGTTGTGTCATGGATAATCACTCGGTAGTTGGGGCGGTACATACATAGCCGCGTCCGTTTACGAACTAGCATCAATTAACGTCACTCATGGATCAAGAAAGAAGGGCAGAAAAACGCGAGAATTCTACTTTTACAGGTAGGTAGTGAGTACAATATAAATTTCATCAATTCATATTCGAAACTCAACGCATATTGTGGGTGGATAGGGGGAGGGGAGGGGAGGGGAGGGGTCATTTATAAATCTATCTTTATTCTTTTCTTTTTGAAAATAATCAACTATTTTTTACGTCCCCCATTCGGTCCCTTGGGCGGCTCCTTCTTTTTATCCCCCACTCCATTTCCCGCACCGCTTCCGATAATCACTGTCGCAACCTCTGCCGCGATCGTGACTTCGCCATCGACAGGAGGATTCAGGAGCGACTTGTCAAAGCTGCTGGGGTCAATCCCCAATATCCCGCCTTGGGCATTGCGATCACCGCTGGCCGAAAATTCCCGGTACGCGTACTTCCATTCATCCAAAAACGCACGCAGGGTCTTGCCCAACTTGTCCTTACCACCCTTAGAATGATGGCCTGTTCCGATGATCGCATACAGAGGACGGGTTGAAGTTTGGTGTTCGACAAGGATGTCCTCCAAGTACTTGACGGCTTCGTCTGGGAGAAGGCCTGTGATTTGTTGTTAATAAACGTAGAACAATCAAGAAAATACGTAAGACGAACCATGCAGATCCACAAATAGTTCAGCGCCCCCTGCTCTCGCAGTCTCCTTATTCCGCTCCTCGTAAATAGCCTTAGAAGCCTCCTTGTGCGCCTTCATCATTGCCATGTTCTCGTTGTTCGCCTTGCGACTGTGTTCTTTCGCTGATTTGGCATCATTTCTCTGCCAAGCCGAGTTGGCGAGCTGAAGATACTTGGCCCTGAGGACGCCGTGAGATATGGCTTCTTTTCGGTGCTTTAGGTAGCTCCGGTTAAGAGATGCGCCGGTCTCTAACCATGGGATTTGCTGCGGCGCGGGGATATGCGATGCTGAAACGCGAGAAGTACGTTTGGATGATGGGGATCCCCCTGCACCCGACCATCTATTTGAAGAGGCTCCAGAGGAAGTGGTCGAGTTACGATTGGAGTGTGGGGATGGAGAAGGCGTCATGCGAACCACATCAGCAAGAGAGGATGGACCCGTGGGAATATTATTCTCGTTCCTGTTGTTACGACGCTTCTTTCCGTGGCCCGAAGCTTTGGCACTGCTGCTAAGTGAGGGAAAGGCTTCGTTATCGTCGACAGCAGGAACAGGCGTAAAGTTTTGCTGTTCACGCTCTCGGAATTGCTGGCGAGAATTGGGACGGGATATTGGAAGCTTGAATCCAGGTGGAGGGCCTACGATTGATTGCCCCCCATTCCCCATCTGGCCCCACTGCTCAGAGGTCAATGATGGGAAAGAGGCTGGGTCATGGAACTGAAGCTGGGGTGCAGGTGTAGAGCTGCGGCTATTTCCATCTAGAGTCATTTTTGAAACAGACATAGTCGGATCGTGAGAAAATATGCAGGTATCGCCCGCAAGACATGAGCCCATAAGCCAGTATTTGCAAATGGTGGTTCCAAGGTCGTGTGAGAATCGGCAGTCCGCACGCAAACATTGGCCCGTGGACAGGAAAAACCGACAGACCACACCGTTACGTGGAGTTACTGGGCGAATCATGGGGGCAGGTGTTGTAGATTTCCCGATGATGGTAGCACCTTCGGGGGAAAGACCACCTCCCCCTAGGTTACCTTGTTGTTGTTCCATCAACATTGTTAACGTAGCGCTTAGATCATAACCGCATAATTCTAACGCTTGCTCGATTTCTTCGTCTGAACGTCCCTCGCCAAGAACTGAGCGAAGCATGTCATGAGGTGACATATTCTCCTGTAATACACCCCTACCTCCATAACCCATTGTATTGTCATCACCAACCAACCAGGCAACAGTGTCGCTTCCAAAATCTCCGTACATTTCTGGCGGTATTCCCGTATCTGTCGTAAACGCTGGCTCATAATTGTTCAAGTTCGGTGAGTGGGGTATCAGTGGGGATGAATAAGCCAACCTGGGGCTCGGTCTAGGCGAAGGAAAAGGTGAACTCTTTCCCATAAACGAGGGTGAGAATCCTGGAGGAGCCATTGGTGGGGTACTACCCAGTGATGGGGTCGGAGTACCTACCCTGCCATAATGCCACGGTGCCGGGGAAGCTCTGCGAACTATCGTGTGGCTGTGTCGTATCGGGGGGGACGTTGCAGGGCTTGTTTTCTCCCGGTGCCGCCAGAGCACATCAAGAGTTTCATTGTCAAGAGCTGTACCAGTGAGGTCTGTTTTAGATGCAATAAGCAGAGAGACGCGTTCGGTCTGGTCCTCTTCCAGCAGGCTCGAGTCTTTTATCGGCGCAGACGATGGAAGGTTAGCGATGGAGCTCTCTTTTCGGCTATGTGCTTGCTTGTTGAGGATTCTGGCAGGCCAAACCTTGGAGAATCGCGATGCACTCCTCTAAAAGCTCGTCTGATATCATTGCGAGCACGAGGAAGCTATCCGGAGACTCTCAGATGTGAGTTCGGGGATAAAGGTTGTTCGAAACAATGATCAACCGTGTCCTTTGCTGTTGCACGACAAAAGGGGTGGAGGGGTCGTTGCAAAGGTTCCGAGATTAATGTTTCGAAGATAAACGATAAGCAGTGAGGGGATAACGATGAAAAGGAGCTGAAGCGAATGTTCTAAGATGAGCAAGAGCGAGAGTTATTGATAAGGAAGATGTAGAAGTAGATGTAGAAGGAAGGGAAGAAAAGGGGGTTGATGGGAGAAGGATGTCGTTGCCAGTTGAGGATAACTGATAGGTGTAGACCTGTAGCTGGAACGACTGGGGGGGGGGGGGGGGGGTTATGGTATGTACGGGGGTGGGGGTGAATGATGGCTAGAAAATGAGCCCAGCACAATACCTATTGGGCAAAGTTTGGTTGGAACACTTCTATTTTGTGAAGTAAGTAGCTAAGTAGATGTATTTACATACCTCCACCTTTCCTTCTTACAATTCTCCTTCTTACACTTCTCTCTACATGTAGTTCTTTCACCTCCTCTTATTCTTGTTCCTCTTCCTCTTCCTGATCTTTCACCCCTCCCTTCTCAGGTGTGATAGCCGGGGCGGGAAGGCTACGAGAAAAGCCAACTTAAGCACCTCAGCCAGGGCGGGAGTTTAGAACCTCCAAGAGGAGCCGGGTACTGCCGCCAGTGCCCTGGCTTTACCTAGAGTGGGATACTCTACTATGTACTTGCGCGTCAGCAACCAGCAACCACATTCCGCTCTGAGCTATCAGAGAGGTGGGGTACCCCAGAGTTCATATATTCGCGGAAGTGCTTGCTTGGAAATCCCGTCAGCTTGGGTATCAATGCTTCTTCATTAGAGTGCCTGTAATTACATGTACCTGTAGTTATCTTGTTCTGCCCGAAAACCTGCCAGAGCTGAGAATACCTGGAGGTTGATGATAGATAGCTTGAAGATTAAACTTCATATCCAGACTGCCCCGCAGTCACTACTCTACCCTTCCCGTGCATGGATCCATCCGCTTCCTCATCAATCTCTCTCTCTTACCCAGACAGTGATAATAGGATGTGCTCGTATCCGCCCAGGTACCATCTTGCCTCATAAAGCGGGCTCAGATCACATTGTGTTTCACGGTCCGACCTCAATTCTAGCATCGACCGCATCTGTTTCTCGGTGGACCTCTGCGCGTTCATGCTTCCTGTTCACATGCAAGGCTAGCGCCGTGTTTCTTAGCCGCCAATCTTGCACTGCAGTGACCTTACACCTTAACCTGGTCCACGAAAAAAAAAAAGGTTAAGAAGCTCTCCGCTACTGGCTCACAAAAGCCAAATACTGACTGATATTCATTAACACACCTCGAGACTCCAATTGAGTTCCAGGCATTGGTATTCATGGTAAATATACCCCTACATCATTCCTACCGCACGTTTGTTTATTAGAAATTACTCTGTCCCCCCCCCCCCAGCTCAAAAGGCCGGGACAATAGATTAGATTAATCATCACCGGCCATACCTTTGACATTAAGGTATCCTCAGCTGCTCTGAACTTGACAATTTTCACCAGCTCAGCAGACCAGGACATTAGAGTACATGTATGTACACATATCAGCTCGAGTACCTGCAGACATTTCAACGAATAGTTTTCACTACAAGTAACGTTACCCCTGGGTGCGTTTTAATCACACCTTGCCGTTCCGTCTGAAAAAGGCTTGACACAGGCGGTCTCGTGATATATTCTTTTTTTGTTTCTGCAGATCGAGCTAATCCCTGGTATATCGGGTTGCATCCCAAAGAAAATAAAGTACCGCAGGAGTGCGGTGGTGTTTAAAACTTGATATCTAGAGTATGTACATACATGTATGTAGATACACACCTAGAATCAAGCAGACACTCATAGTCTATAAAGACCTTCCCAGCACACATAACCTCGCACGTACCCTTTTCGATATATATCTCCTGGCCATTGAGTTGCAAGATTAAATCTCTGGAGAAAACGATTTTCAAAACCTACGGGACATGTAGCCTTAAGCACGTCACATATCCATGCCGAGAAAAGCTGGCGGAAAACGTGGCACCGGACTGTTGCAAAAGGGAATAACTGTTAGTATGCATGCATAAATTTTTCGGACCGTACCCGGACAGCTGGCTAGGCAGAACTGTTACTCTACTCGGTCCACTCAAGCACAGGGTCACGAGAAGCAAGGACCAAAGCTTTGAAACAGTATACTTAAGTCAGATCTACTGATTCTACCCTGGAGCATAATGCTAGCGAATAATGATAAATACAACATATATTCTTTACAGAGCTGTGTACTTATAGGTAACTATAGCTATAGGCACCAATGATCGTTATCGATACCTCATTCTAGATGCTCTAAGCCGTTTTACTTGTATGTTTATGATATCTAACCTGGGTTTACACCGTCCATGCGCCTAACCAATCGCGCGCTAAATAAAATACATGTACATGTAGCCACACCTCTATCATTACCCTAGTCGAGTGTAATACTCTACCATATATATATTGATATTTAAATCTTGAGTTTGGGAATAACCAATATAGCACCAAGTACTCTATCTTGCATACATACATACATAGAATACTACAGGATACATATGATGTTCTGAGATACTGTACCTACATGTACTTTAGGCAGCGCAGCGAAACCAGATACATAGTAATAGAGGCCTATTTTGAGAAAATATATCGATCACGGCCGCGGACACTCTTTGTAATGTGTTCCTGGGACGCTGAAGGATCGTGCATGGCAGTACTATAATATCATATAGGCCTGCAGCTGGAAGGATATTTAGAATTTTGATGCTCACTGGGATAAAATTATATGTACATGTAAGCAACATCTTTTGGCTGAAATGCATTACATATACCTTCCGGTATATAATGGCTCTATGACGAACTTCTAACAAGTTGGATAACAGCATACAAAAGAAGCTGCACAACTACACGAAAGGTTTCTGAGTATTTATATTTCAGAAGCCTACTAGCGATATTTTTCTTCTAAGAATTGACATATACACACACACAAAAGTCTCTAGCTAGCAATCTAAATTGATAATTATACATGTATGTGCTTTTACACGTGGTTTTATTTCCGAAAGGGTACTCTTTCTAGAGTAGGAACTAGTAGAAAGGTATATACATGCAAGGTTCTAATCGATCTGTATATATTGATATGGACAGGCAGCAGGCTGAAGATGAAGCCTCATATACAGCAAAATCCATCATCATCCTGATCGAAACTCGGATCTTACCATATTTCCAGCGTTCAAATTTAAAGAGAATATTGATTTTACTCTCTCCGAGTTCTATCCTTGCGATATTTCCAGTTGATGTACCGCATAGATTGAATTATTAACTGTTGTTATACCCAAGCAATATGTAGACAAAATTGTACCTACAAACATCTCTTATGGTAACAAAAAATTGTCTTAACCCCGCATCTGAAGGCTGTGCGAGGTCAGTAAAACTCCATGGCTATTGCAAATCAATGTCAAACTAACCCTAACCCAGCCGCAGGTTTCAGGTAAATTCACCGAATAAGCGAGCGGATGAGGGGGCGTGCCGAAATACCGGCGGGTGAATTCACGAAATGGACGGTTAGTAAACAGAAAGCTTGTGGTTGTGGCTTGAATTGGGGAGATTTGAGATAGCGTTCAGTACTGATATCTCTTTGATGATCTTCTAAAGCTTATTTAGTTAAGATTTAACACTATTGACTGGGGGCTGGCGTGTTTTGATTAGGCCCCGTTTTGAGACGACAGGTATTTACGTGCGTGTGTAAAGTGTGTAAAGTATATTATACGAAAAGTGCAAAAGCCATGTAGATAGAACAGAGTACTAGTACCGGTATCTACATGCATGTAGCTCTATGGAAGTTACTAAAATGGCCATGAGCTCAACAGAATCCCCGCTATTCTGCTCACAGTCACATCTTGCACTCCGAGAGCAACTGATTAGGATGTACACAATGTATGTACTGACCGTGATTGTGCTTGAGCTGACACCAAGCAGTTTCGAAGTATCGGTAGCTACAGACATGTATCTAACTGGTTGTGGGTCTTAGGCACCTATCCACAGCTACATATGTAGCTACCAATTGAACGTACTCCAAACACACTCAGAGATATTTAAGGATACACTTCGATCACGGTAATTGCAGCCGCAAATAGCTTGGAACCTTCCCCGCGTGGCTTCAGTTGTGGCACAAACGCACCGGAGTGACCCCTACGCCACACTCGCTTACGCCGTCACCCCACATGCATCACTCATCATCTCGAGCAACTAGCTGGGGTGGTGGTCTGCTAAGCAATTACATAGTGAGCTACTCACAGCAGCAACGGATATCACTCACCCCCAAGGCCCTCATCTCTTCGAACTCAACTCTACCTGCACCCCTCGGACCCTATCACAGCCTGAGAAACCCCTTTCAACTCTCCACCAAACCCTATATTCAGAGAAATACAAACAATGTCACAAAATCCCCGGCATTCCGGCATTCTATACACACCAGCGGATGGTCATCCAGCATCGACAGCACCAACTGCAGCACCTCCAGTACCCCGCTGGACTCATCCACGGAGGTCACGTCCTGCCTCAGTCGCATCACACCCTAAACTGAAGAGAACTGTAATCGAAAACGCGAAGCGGCGGGTGGTAAAACTACAGAGATGGGCAAAAAAGAGAGTGAGGAAGTTGACATTACAGCAGAAGATACTAGGGTCATTGCTGGTTCTGTTTGTGAGCGTGAGTGCGATTTTGATGCTGGTATTTCATTCGCAGATTTTACATGCTATGCTACCCATTGCTAGGAAGCTTAGGTGAGCTTCCCCCCCTGGAGCTCTGCTCTTGTTGCTCCCGTTTTGAGTTAGTGGTTGGGTGAGGGTCAAGGGGCTGACGGACGGACGATCTTTAGACAAATGCGAGCCGGGTGGCTATTGATTTTTACAATGTGCTACATCTCAGCGTTCCCACCCATGATCGGTTACTCGACCTCGGTCACTCTCGCCGGCTTCATCTATGGCTTCCCTAATGGCTGGTTCATAGTCGCCGCAGCCACAATTCTTGGGGCAACCTCTGCATTTATAGCCTGTCGCCAGTTCTTCCAGAACTTTTCGAAAAGAATGGTCGCTACTGATAAACGTTTTGCGGCACTGAGTCTCACGCTAAAGCATGATGGAATTAAATTATTGTGTATGATCAGACTGTGTCCACTGCCTTACAGTATTGGGAACGGTGCGATGAGCACTTTCCCTACAGTCACGCCATGGGCGTTTATGCTGGCCACTGCATGCGCGACGCCGAAGCTTATGATTCACGTCTTCATTGGCGAGAGGCTAGCAAGGCTAGCAGAGGCAGACCAGAAGATGGACACCAAGACAAAAGTACTCAATTACTCCAGCATCATTGGAGGTAAGTGCCACCCTAAACATTGAAATTCCCATAATTAATTATCGTCACAGGTATACTCCTCGGAGTCCTCACGGGGTGGTTAATCTATAAACGCACGATAAAGCGTGCCAATCAGCTCGAAGCTGAGGAGCGCGCTCGCATCCGTGGCACAATGGTCTCCCCATCCGGCCGCACGCCATCATCAGCTCAATTCACCGATGATGAATCTCTGGATCCCCATGCTGCTACAGCAGCAGGCTTAGTAGCTGGCCTTGTCGAGGGCGACGAGCTGGAGCAGGCTGGTATCTTTAGTGACATTTCTTCGAGTGAGGAGGATGGAGAAAGTGATGATCTTCTGGGCAGTAGCGAGGAGGAAACAGGTGATACGGGATACGGTATGGAAGACAGTGTGGAACTTGAGAGGAGCGGGAGAGAGGGGCGGGGCGCTATTGCGCTACCATAAACGTAAGCTGACATAACAGTGTGTGTGACAGAGGCAGGGAAGGAAGATATTTAATTAACCTAACCTAAAATCTCATTCGGCTCATGGATCAGTTGGCGACGTGGAGATGTTCTGTGCATTTAGAGGTGGTGGACCTTTTTTTTTTTTTTTTTTGGAACTGTGAGGACTCCGTTCGGTTCTATATCCCTTCCCCCCTTTTCTTTTTTTTCTGGGCTACATATTGGCTATTGGTGCTGGTTCTCATTTTTTTTTTCTTCTCCTTGGGTTGGTGGGGGTTTATTTTGTCTTGTCTTGTTCGGTCCGTTCGGTTTGGTTTTGTGCTTTGGGGTATTGATGTTTAGACGTCTGGCCGAGTGAGGTAAATATACTGTTTATATATATATTATACATAACTATATGTACTTTACCGGATTCTATCCTACCTCTTTTCTTGTTACTTTGGGCTGTGCTTTATGTACTTTCTTCCATGGCGTGATCTGGCCTCATTGAGGCGTCGAGTGATATGGTGTGATGATAATATCACTGACATGCTTCATCGAAGTTTCTGCAACTTGGGTTTCTTTCGTTCTTGTCAATGGTTGGCACGTTTACTGTAGTTTTTCCTACACTGAGTCATATCGATAGAATAACATGGAATGAAGCAAAATAACACAAAACCAAGAGAAAAAGAAACACCATAATTACAGGAGTCGGGTTTTACTTTTGAGGTCAATTGTGTATCTGATCATATGCAAGCCTTTTTTGAAAGATATTCTAATACCTATACGCTATAGCTAAGATTATCGGGACCAAGAAAAAGTCTAGAGCCCCCTTAATGTTCCCGGTCGCCCTTTCATTAGTATGTATATATGTGTGATGTAAGATGATAACATAGGATATCAGGATCCTAGGTTTTTTTTTCTTCCTTTTCTTACTTGGTTTTCTTCATTACGTATGTACAGCTAATACCATATCATACATGCCTGTTGACCTGGTAAAAGCGAAATCATGTCTCTGTGCTGTGGTGGTAATAGCTGGTGTCTGTACGTAATGGTGCTCCTGGAGCTCCTTCAGCGAAGTTCTAGCTGAGTCATCAGAGAAAGAGCGATGCGTACGCCGTAAGGGACATGGTTAGTTTTTTCTTTTTTTTTCTTTTGAAAAAGCAAATTGGGGTCTGGTAGGATTTCTTATTAATTTTATGGACCTACATCATACATCAAAAAAAAAAAACAGCTGTAGCTTTGCTTGAATTCGCGAACATCAAATCTACTCGATCGAACGTGAGCTCTAAGTACTTACTAGTAACTACATGTAGCCACTACTATCTAATAAGTATATAGATATACCGATATGCAATGTGTTATTTAAAGGTTTTGATTGGCCAGGTTTGAGGGGTTTTCTTTTTCTCTATCAAATATGTTTGTCAGTAAGTAGATATTCTATCAAATATGTTGGAGTTAGTACTCGCTATCATCCATAAGAACCTGAAAATGCAAGTGACAGTTACAAGGATTATTTGTATGTAGTGGCGCCGTTCTCCCATAGAAATTATCCCTGTCTTATTCACCTGCATTTTCAGGTTCTTATGGATGATAGCGAGTAGATATTCTATCAAATATGTTTGAGTCAGCCAGTAGATATTGGTTCCAACATACCTTGAGTCAACCAAATAGTATATCAGATATGTGCACAGGGCATCTTGGGGTTTCAGTGATCTTAAGCGTTGGTAAACTGATATTGTTTAAGCCATAACAGTTCCTACTCCGGCCAAAGGCCGGAAAATGCTTGTATACATGTATAGATATGTATTATAATTGTATTTATGTACCTCTTGTACTACACATGCACGCCGGTGCACCACTTACGGCCGGTGTATAGGATGTAAAGTGCAAAAACCGATTTCTGACCTCGAATGTTTCATCTGACCCTAAATTATAAATTACTTCCAATCCAATGGATTCACTTCGTACTCTATATAGTGGGATATACCCTGGCTATCCATGTAGCAGCTCCATAAAGAAGCAGGTACAGCTGGACTAGAGGCGTCTGATTTGTCACAAAAGTAGAGAGCATCTCCGCAAGTGTGATCAACGCAATATATGCATACCATGGCAATCTCCACGGGAAGAGCCATTGATCATGAGAAAAGCTGAAACACGGTCCCGTATTTCATCCGATCTGAAAATATGATCAACTCTTACTCTACAAGGCAACTGGATATTCCCGGGTGGTAGATTTCATGAAAGCACGGGCGCCACACATCGCCCCCCGGGATTATGTAGATCAACTTTGATATGGAATACCCAGAGATAAACGTCATAGGGTGGAACCAATCAATAAATCGATTGATTAATCTCACCAGGGATCGGGTGAAGGACTACATACGTGCATCTACAGTTGCATCAGATATGCCAGATTGCTAAAATTTGCATAATTTCACACGGGGTAGAAGGTTGATTTTGCAGTAAGAAAAATAAATTCCCAGAGAGTCTAGTACGAGGCGGCAAGGGATTTGGGGTACTGAGTCCCGGAATGCATAACGAGTTGCGACTGTATTTGAATCTTTGGGGTACGCTGTATTATAGACGATCGATTGCAGGAAAGTGAGCAGCTAGACTCAAGGTCTTAGCAATTAAAGTTCGACAGCTCGTGAATTAGCAGCTGATGCCCCCTCCTAGGGTTCACCGTGGTTGTATTTAAAGTAGGCCCGGGGTAGGTAGATCTATAGAATTAGAACAGATCAAATTGCAAATGTAAGTATATCACAGTCTCCAAAACGTGGGGTAAGGCAAATAACCCTCGGCTATTGAAATAGAGAGACTCTAGATATTACCCAAAAACAAGGTTTGATTGACATATTGTGCCACCAGTTATACGTTACGTACAAAACATCGAGTGAGGGTCGAGTGATCTCATATGACTAAACCTCTGCAGTCAGTCTCGAAACGGTTATACACCCACGTCCAACTGGTAATGTGCAAGCAGCTATCTATGGCAATATATATACTACACTATGAGTAAAACTAGACCTATAACGTGGAGCTGCAATCACATGCCGGCTCATTAATTAATCTCGATCTCGCATTTACCCATCCGAGGTTAACATTTCCTTATGTGCATTGTAATAAGGCACACAAGGTATGTAGTACATGTATGTACATGTAGCTACTAGTATCAACGCCTATCCTTTTTGCCTTGCCCTCAGAAATGTGAGAATGTATTTGAGTATCCAGGATCCTCCGGATCACCTTTACTACTTACCCAGGATTCCTTGTACGTCTGCAGTGCCGGCGATTTAATATGGTATGTAGGTACATACTATAAATACTAATATAATATGATGCCTAACCGTATCTGTTATCCATAGTTACATATATAGCGATGCATCGATGCGTCAACTGTTAACTGATTTACAAATATTGATACTAGGGGTATACGTACCTGGGGCTTAGAGCACGGTATATGTAGGTAGTATATGGGGAGGTACATGTAGTACGTACCTAGATGTAGACACACGAGACCGGTTGTATATACACGTCGCGTGGCAGGTACATACTTATGTACCTATCTTCTACGGAATATAGAGTAGAGTAGAGGATTCTAGTTACATAGTGTGTGTGCGTATTGCATGAAGCATCGCATACGAAGTAACTGGAGAGCATACCAGTTTCAATCAGACACACATATCCATACCTACCTACTCAGTATTATGGGGCTGAAATGTGGGCTTACGATCTACGGCGCCTTAAAGATTTGTGATTCTCTCCGGCCCCCGGAAAATCTCCCAGGTCTTCCGGGGACAACGAGTCACATTTATTGGCGGTGGTGGAATAACTAAACGCAAAATTCTCACAGGGCAGGTAATGGTAATATCTAGCTGGTCATGTGGACTCTGAAGGCTGTTCAATCGAATTCGCGAATAGACACCATCTCTCAGAGGACAGGTTGATGTACATATGTAGAACGTCATGCTGCAATCTATGGAAGGTACACTTTACTTGAACGTGTGAATAACCGTGTCGTACGACTAGCAGGGAACAATAGTTACCAGTATATTAGTGAATCACGGCGCTATAGCTCTAGGAAAATAGCAACTACGGATATTCGCAAGCTGCTCTGATCTGAAAGCCGAGTTCGCTATAATTAAACTCGAAGATGAGATATCGATCTTCAGGGTCAAAAAATTTCAGAATCAGTCCACTAAACGCCAGGTAGATTCATAAAGGATAATGTGAATGACAGAGACCAGAAAAAAAAATAGTTGAAGCTGAGATATATGAACTCCCCATTCCGATGATTCCTGTGCCTGACTGGAAGATATTATCTCCAGAAATAAAAAAAAAAAGGGAAAAAAAAGTAGATAGTGCTTAGCCAGAGCTTAGGCCCAGTTATAAGCCGGCCATGATTACAAGTGCTTCTTAGCCCGAATGTAGGCAGCTAAAGGTGGCTTCAATCAAACTTCTGGGGCCTTTGACGTCTGCAGTCCCAGTCCAAAAGAATACGCCTCCTAACCCGTTCTCCTTCGCGTACTGAGCTTTCATCTTTGCAGTCTCTGGATTGTCGTATGTAACAAACCCTCCATCACCGCCTACACAAAAAGCAGCGCCCAAGGTCGAATCCACGTACTCCGTTGCTCCTGGTCTTGGCAAATCCTTGTATTCGAATGTTCCCTCTTCGCCCGCAGATCCAGAAAACTTTTGGCCAATGTTGTGGCAGCCCAGAAATGAGCGGCCATATGCGGGAATGCCCATGAGAATTTTTGCAGCTGGTACGGACTTTGACCTAAGATAAGAGATGGCGGAATGAGCGGAAAGCTTAGCCGCATCACAATGGGCACGCCGTGGTGAGAAAAGCTGGGCTTGGTGACCTGATGAGGGGACCCAAGGTCCTGAAAAATCATATGACATCAAATTGATAAAATCAAGGTAGTGATGAGCAATCGAAAGATCAATGTTTTGAAGAGCCCATTCACCAGCTGGTAGCGCCGATGTCAAGATGTATTGTGGCGCGGGAAGCCAGCGACGGATAGATTCGAGAAGGGAGATGTAATCTCGGCCTTGTTTAAGATCGGCCGGATGCTCCCAGTCAACTGTTCTGAAATGTTAGCTCATAAAGTATAAATGTTAAAAGTGAGCACCTACTATCTATTCCATCTAAACCATACTCCACAACCAGTTCCCTCGCTGTTGAGGCAAACTTCTCACGAGCTTCTTGGCTTGCTGATACGGCAGCAAAGTTGTCACTTCCTTTCCCTCCTCCTCCAATTGAAAGAATGACCTTCAGATGCCCATGCTTTGCCTTCAATTCCTGGAAAGACCTTAAACACCCCTTGGTCCCGTCGACATCGATTTGTGAATCTGCCCATTCGTCACTCAGCTACAGCCAATCAGCAACCCAAACTTGCAATGGATCCCACACCATTTGACCAGTCATACATAAACAGTTCCACACGGCTTTACCCAAGCGAAGGAGTAGAAGACATGTGAGATCAACCCCAATGTTAAGGAACTTGGAGGTTCATTTTTATAGATGCGCCAATTTGGGTAGTAAACCCCATTTGTACTATCCAATTTTGTTAGAATAAACTTCCCACTGCATCGACGCACAGGTTTTCGCTCACTATATCCGCAATGGTTCCGGCGTATGGTGTGGATGAATATGCCCACCCAGATGGTCACCTAGATGGCCTAGATGGCTCTTTAGAAAGTTGCGGGGATGAGTGTACCATGGTATCGGCGGTGGGACGTGATCACCAGGGCGCTGGGTCATTTTTCTCGGTGGGTACAAGTGTGTGGGGGAGGAGAGCGAGTTGTAAAAGCGCCTTCAGAAAGGACCTCAGATAGAAATACGTGAATTGGGATGATAGCACAGGGAATGAGTCGGTTCTTATATACTGGATATTTGGGCTGCTAGTCTTTGCCCCCCCCCCCCCCCCCCCCCAAAACCCCCCGCGCCTCTCTTCCATTCCTTAGCCTCTAGGCCAGTGAAGCTCAAGGATCAGGAAAAGAAAAAAAAAGAAAACGAAATAAGAAAATCCTCACGCCACCGGTATATGTATGTAGTTCCTTTTCTCTTTCCGTTGCACTTGATCCTACCTTCTATAGTACGGAATTGCTCTTTTCCCGGTGGCTCTTTTTTCAGTCGGCGTTCGGTGGAGAGAGCACACTTCGCCTCGATGACGACGGAGGTGTTCCTGCACGAATCAGTTGAGATGAAGATCCCAGGAGTTCTGTGGACCCTGGCTGACTACGGAGGGCAGTATACCGTACAGAGGGTGAATATGACACTTCACGATTTCAGAAAAAATGATCAGCGTGTGGGGAAAAAGTGGCGATACCTTGAGCAGCAGCCAGGACGAGTAATGGCGGTTCGTCATGATCCAAACAAAATGGATATACCGGTTCACAGCTTCCATATTTTGCATCTGACTTGTCGTTTCAATTCATCTCATCCGTCCGGCCTAGCTCACAAACGCTGCATCATGTGTCGCAAAAAAAGAGGTGCGGATATGTATGTGAATGCATATGGAGAGTACACCTATCCTAGAGTAGAGTAGAGGAGGGAAGCACTCTAGATACATACGCTTCCACCGCGAAGATCGCATGGGTTCAGCTTCCCCACAGCAAGAGGTTATCTTGTCTTGTCTTGCCTTTCCTCATCTTCGATGATGCCTGGCGACTGGTGCTTGGAGCTAACGTGTCCTGTAGAGTGCTAACTAGAGTATAGATGTGCGTGAGCCCTCCACCTCCCCCGACGCATAACAAAACTTTTGTATCATAAACAACAAAGTCAGCGGGTGTGCTCTGTCCGTTACACCTGCTGTTGTTGCTCGTGACGCCTGCTTTGGGGACTCGGTGTAGATATGTAGGTACGATACGAAAAGGCAGCAGCTACCACCTGTGTGAGCTGGAAGAGGAGGCCAGTGCCGATATGTAACCGTTGGCGACAAGCCAACCGACAAACTGCTGGCGGGTATGTGCTACCTATTCCAGAAACCATGTGTTAGGCTCAATATTGGTTTGCATGATCTAACAGACATGTGTAAACAGGTAGGTATGGTAATAAGAACCAACCATGAGCTGGGGTTTTCTTTAACGACCTCTAGAATCTACTCATGCCTTGGCTGCAGAAATCCAGATCGATCTGTTGGTGCGAAAATGCGAGAGAGGTTACTACTGAGAAGCAGACATGGGCTACGAAAAGTACGAATAGAGAGAGGTTGAAGATGATAGGACCGAACCGCTACCTGTGCATATAGTGCAATGGCCATCGACCCCTGGATGATCTGCGCTTCCAGGCGCACTGACGCCTACTAGCCGGAGACCCTCCAGATTTATGCCGGTGAGGTCAACGTCAAGTCACCCCAGACGGGCGCAGCTAGACTGCAAACTTCGAAATCTTGAGATTTTACAAATCCCGTCAATTGCATCGATAAGGATAGTCTTTCAAAAATAATATATACTTCACTTGGGTGCTTAAAGTACGCGTATAACGAAACATAGACCACTTGAGTTATTGGTCGATTGGTCGACATACACATATGCAGGATTCGGAGTTACCTTGCGGAAGGTACATACATACATAGTTCAATTCTTTGTGTAATTTTCAACCACTGACAAAAAAGAATCTTAGCCAAAAGACAACTTCCTTCTCCTGGACACCTATCAGTCACCTATCAATCAATTTCAGTGCGCCCCTGGGAAAATCTACAAAATAAAGTCTGACAGGACGCACGGCTTACAGCTGTGCTTTACTGAACACATTTATTCAACAGACTTTTTGGTGCTGGTGTGTGAGTGTTCATCCGGTTGAGGAGTCCATCAATTAGGACCCTACTTTTGGCTGTTCAGAAATATTGTTGACCTTTGATTCTCAACACATAGCATGAGGGATTTGAACAGCTCACCAACCTTCATGAATTGAGCAACGCCTGAGTGTTTTATTTTTGCTCATGAATAGCTCCTAGAAGCTGATATAAATACGCGAAATTCGGTAATATTCCACAGTTGAGTTCCAGGTTTATTTTGCCATCATACGCAAGACTCGCCGCTGGTGCGCATCCGCGCATCCGTTCACTCCCATAACCGCACAGTCATTGCCTGTTTGCTATCATTTTCCCGAGGAATTTCGGGGAGATAGCCGACACCAGAGACACTTTGGATACAAGCTTTACATATGCTTCTTTTGGCAGTGCAGCGAGGAGCCTTTGATCATGAGTTTTAACTTAAGATATAAAGAAAGTAAGGACTATATCCGAGCGGCTGTTCAAACCGAGACCAGATCGTTACCAGTGAAGTAAGCAGACTTCCTGATGTTCGCGCCCCCGCTGAAACTGGTCATTTCAAGACTATTACTCAAGTGTACTTTGTTGGTTAGTTGCACCAAATGTGACTACTAATTGCGGTAACAGTTCTAGATTTTATAGACAATTTTGACCTTTCAGGTTTATGTAACATTTTGAGCATCCGTCAAAAGTGTCCTTAGGTGCGACAGGTCCGCGTATGTACACGCGTATTCGTGCACGAACCTCGACACATGGTAATCAACTGTTGGAAGGCGGGTAATGGTAAAGATGCATGTCACTGAGGTTTTTAGGCACCGGTTTCATGGATGTCGTCTTTCAAAGCAATGAATGAGCATTCACTAACAAATTACTGATAGCCTAGGCTTGATCAACTTGTAAATTGATCGACGAGCGACTTTGATCTGTTTCTGAACCCTTGCTACGACTCTCTGGATCATGGCGTCAACATTTATAAGAAATATAATTTTTTGTACATTCTCGGAGACCGGTCGCATGGTAGTCCCTTCAACCATCTCTATAGATTGTGTGGGGATTTGAAATCACTAATAGACGGCTTTTTAGACTCCCGGTTACGGTCGGAAACCGGTGTCCAGCCGAAATTTACAACGATATCAGCGCTTCATGTCCCTTGTCGAACTAACTAGTGACGAATCGTGTGCAACTTCTGTGGACAGAATCAGGGCGGCAGATAATAATCAGGGTTGATATTATGCAAGGAAGGAAAAGAGCCTTGTCTTGTCCACATGTAGGTATACTGCACGCTCCAGAGCCGATGATGATGGTAAGATATATTTTAGAAGCTAGCCGCAATCATATCACAACTTCGCCTATCTCACTGGTACTAGGGCGTTCAAATAAGCTTCTCCCACCGATGCATGATTACTAGCAATCAATAGGCCAAGTTCTTTCTCCTACGTTATGATAAGAACTACATTTTGTGCACCGGGTTCGAGGAACGAATTTGCAACTGGTAAGTCTCCGAATCAATCTTTGTCGATGACAATCGGCGAAGAAAGAATGGTATTTATGATTTCGGTATATATACTCGTCACTTGCAGCCGGCATTTAAAATACTGCCAAGAAATATATAAAATCTGGGTACTTTTGAGAACATGTACGTCCGAGTGATCGACTATGACTTGATCATATTTAATCATGATTACAAGTAGCTTAGGGTAATTTACTAGCTAGGGGTACTAGTGACTTTAATTAATAGAATATAGTAATTAATCCTTTAATATTTGTAGATATTCTAGCCTGAGAATAGTAGAAATTCTAACTCATCTCATCTAAGGACAATGGCAATCGCCTCCAGGTCAACTAATATGAAATTAAGAGAAATATCCTAAATTATATTATCATACTCCAACGTACAGAAAGACATCTGAAGGTTCAACCAAAAGTCTCTGACAATCTCATAGTTCGTCGTGTAATGGCGATGCCCCCTGTGCCGTGCCGAGTATGGTCTCAAACTGCAGCTTCCACAACTCTACTTCACTCCTATCAAGCATAAATCTGTTGAACCCAATCGGGTCATAAATCTTGCTCTCCCAGACAGTCTCATTCGTCGTTGTTGATGGGCCAGACTGCAAATCGTTCCTTCCAACATAGTATCCCGAGGCCGCAAAGTTTTCCTGAAAGCCCGACGACGTGAGCCACGAAATAAACAATTTTGCAGATTCCGGTCGTTCGGTCGAAGCAAAGATGGCGGCGGTTTGCGCCCATGTTATGATCTGCTCGTCTTGGAAAAAAAACTCCTTGAGGTATGCAGAATTTGGGCCTGGTAGAGTGCCAAAGGCAATGCTGCGGGTCGAGTTCTTTCCTACAACGGCGCCGGGGGTGGCACTGCCGCGAACCCATTGAACATCTTGAGTTGCCAAGGCCTCAAACCAAGACCATCCGTATTTGTTGATGATCAATGAGAAGAGATATGCGATGGCGTCATCGTCGTTGGGATAGGTGAGTGCAAGTTTTCCTTTCCACGCAGGGAGCGTGAAATCAGCGAACGAGGTAGGAAGGTCCGCCTGTGAGATGAGTGCCGGGTTGTACACAACACTCCCGAAATAATCTGTAATTTCCCAATTGGTAAGTAGCGTATTACGAAAACTTCACAACAAAAACAACAAAATATGGCCAATTACTCACAGAAAAACAGTGGCAGAAAAGCCGCGTTGGGGTCTTTGACGCTTGCCCACAGGCTTTCCCATGAGGATGGTTTGTAGGGTAACAATCGCCCTTGAGTCTTCCAGCGTGGGTAGTCATGCAGGGTCTGCAGCGCAGCAACATCACAAAACGTCTCCCCACGTTGCCAGGAACGATCGATGTTGCTGTCATGATATTTCGATAGGTCGACCGTAAGATTGAGCTCAATGTCTGGGAATGCCTGTGCCCAGGCAGTCCTGACAGAGTCGCCCTGATAGTCCTCTAAATTGTCGGGTAGATTAGTAGTGTACGCACTACTAAAATAACGGAAAAATATTTAATGGGTATCAGTTTAATACCATCACCACCCCAGAAAATCCTCAATGGCCCAGATTCTAGCTTTGCAGCTTCATAGATTTCGTCTAGGGACCTAGTGTCGATGTCCACATTCGAGCCCGGGAAGGAATTTGAACTGCCCAAGACGGTGCCTAGCAGCCCAAGTGTTGAAAGCAATTGGATAGTGCTTGTGTGCATTGTTGATAGCGTTGGTTGGTTTATAGGAGACTAGAATTCGAGAAATGTCTGACCGATGGGAATGAGAAGTCCACATCTCTTGGGAATGGCCATCTTTATATTCCAGTCCTCGATCTCTGAGCTATGTAGCTAGGACTGCGCGTGGCCGGTTCTTGCTAGCGCCATTGATCTTTTTTACCGGCCGAAAGAGTGAATATCCATGCACGTGCGGTAACTACATGTACTTCATGTAGAGTATACGTACTCTACATGTACCTATGTACATGTACTCTAATTGCAATGAGCCAGGTTATTGGGCTAGTGCGTGGACCTAGCGCCGTTAGTGTTAGTATGCAAGTATTTCTTGTCGGAATAATATGGTTTCGATAGGTCTCTGTATTTCACCATATATCATTAGGAGTTTTACTGATGGGCGCACCGCACCTATTACCGTTCGCGGTCTTGACCAACTATCTACATGTGTTTAGAACACATGCGCAATACTACTCATAATTATAGAAAGGTACTAGAATCCCATATCGAGGTTAAACTACTGAATGAAAGTCGAACTTCAAGATCTAGATATTTATTAGGGAGAGTATTCAGATACCAGCAGCCTCAATACCTTGCTTCGGCTGGTCATGGGTGAAGCATAGCATGCAAAACTTGTTTGTTGTTAGAATGCTTTCCACTCAAATTTCTATGATTCTTGTATGGGGCATAGTAACTGATCGATCTAGGGATTTTAAAATTTTAGATATTGACTTGTTGAATTTTATAACCAAGTTGACTCCGTAGGCCGAATAAAGTGTGCCATTTCTTGGACATCTAATTCCAATCCAGTTGTTTCAAGGTGTCTCTCTACGTGTCACCTGGCCACCCACATCCAGAGTACATCGATTTAGAAGCGAATAGAAAAGAAAGTTACTCGGAACTTTCCAGCTCATTGTGCATAGGGTATCAAATACATATACGCATAGAGCCTTTGATTCTGCTCATTTTGATTGACTTGGAACCCCTGCCCTATCGTTTTGAGCTATGTATGTAGGTACTTTAAAGGACGTAGAGCTAGCTTGGAAGCATGGAAGCCGGTTTCGTTCAGTAGTCCGTAGGTGCATCTCAACCCGGGAGTGCGTGTAGAACGCCTAGCTAGCTAGGTGTGTAAGTACTTTATCGCAATTATCAATCAATTAAGACCAGTGTAAGCGCTGACCAATCCAAGGGCGATTTTTTTTTCGCCTACAAACCATCTGTAACGCCCTTGGCTTCATCAGTCAGGATTACGAACGAGTTCGTGTGTTTTGTTGATTCGGCGGGAGAAAAAGTCCGAGAAAAAATCATTGGCATGTACCACATATGAATGTCTATTCATCAGCATCAGTAAGCCGCAAGAATCTCAGGGACGTCAAGCCAGGCGGACAGGGTTTGAGTTCCTCCCGCGGAAACCCTGATGCAGGAACGCCTATTCCTTACAAGTACCTAGCTCCGTTTGCGCTAGTTAGAATACGGCTTTAAACAAGTGATTTTTGATGGTTCTGCCGATGAATACGCGGGTGCACATTTTGAATGCTACCAATGCTTTCATAAGTTTTCAGCTTCAGCCCTTCCTAATCACTATATGACAATCAATCAATAATTATAATCTGGGAAAATATTCTTCCGTTTGCAACAGCCATAATATTACACACCACGTGCGCGATACCTACAATTATCAATCAATACCTGCGTGTTAGACTACATCGTTAGTAAATTTTGGTGACCCAAGCTTCAGTAAGGCGTGCCCGGTAATGCACTGTGTATGTAGTCAAGAGTATGGGACATGTACCTACATGTAGCTTCAGTTCCTAAACTTTACTCTTCCATGTGGAGATAGGTACTAGTGTAGGGGTTAGAAAAATGTGGGGCTGGGTTTGGGTTTGGGTTTGGGTTGAGGTTGGGGTTGAGGTTGGGGTTGGAGTTGTTAGGGCGACATTTAGGTAGTAGACGTAGGTAGAGTACAAACATGTACCTACCCCAATTTAAACAAGCATACCTCGGGATCCCTATTACTAGAAGCATTTCTGTAACGACAGATGTATGTTTTCCAATGATGCAGCTTTCGAAACTTCCCTTCCCTTTCCTTCCCAGGAATATGCTTATATGCGTGCCTGTGGCTATCAAACCCTGTGACAAGCCTAAGAATTGAACAAGCTTGAGTGCGCTCGACACTGGTACTACTTGTACTTTAATCACCGCTAATTAAGCTGTCGGCTGCTGTTTTTTCCGATTAAACCAAGATCCTACCGCGGGCCTCCGGTACCAGGCGGACCGGACAATGGAACGAGGTACCGTTTTATCTCTTACGCCGAATCCTCGCGTGGCCTCCTGGTATTCTTTGACGATACACTGGGAACCTTTATCTTCGAGACGCGTTCAAATGCTAATCATCTGTAGTATGGCAAAAGAAATCGCATTTTATAGCCTGCCTCACCTGCCACTTTAATTCCAGACCAAACCTACATCACCCGGATGTTCTTTTGAGCCATACCGAACCGATTGCTCTTTGTGGACTTGGGCCCAAATCAGCTCATTTCAGTGTTGATGCCATGTACATGCTCTCAACACACTCCCGAATCCACCAGGGTACATGTTAATTGCGGCACATGAATGCGTTGAAACGATCGTCGCGGGAAATGGGCACCTTATGGATTTGGTAAGAAGATCCTTGTTCTATGTTAGTAGTCAAAGGACGCATGTCTTTCAGAAAATAAGTGTATATCTAATTCAGTTTATGCGAAAGAAAAACGCTACTTGGGAGATCTAGAATACTTCATAGAAACCATGCATGGGACAGCACCGCACACCGCACGTCTAGCCGTCTTCTACTCTTAATACCTGAGTTCATGATGAAGTGCTATTACTTCGCTTCGCCTCGATTGAGTTTTATCGGCATTTACGTGGTGGTTTTTCTGGGTCTCAGGACGAGTGTAGACCGATCTCTCTCCATTTCCAGTTCTGAGTGTGGAATCGAGTGACTACTAGATCGATGTGATTCCCTGGATCGCCTATATAGGTCCAACAGCAGCAACATCCAATTTACTTCTGTTTCCGCCCTCAACAGATAGGTATCATGGGTGTAACGGTTGTATCACTGAATTCAGGATTTCGTTTTTTCTTCGTCTCAATTTTAGAATTTCACAAGGCTAACCAGGGGACAGCTCTCTACCATTATCTTGTGAATCCATAAGGTCGGCCATCTAGTCTCGAGGGGTATTAGGTCGGATAGAAAGGAAGGTGGTCTGGGATATATAAGCCAAAAGATGTGATTTGAAAACAACTCATTGAGTTGTAACTAGAAAGCATCCGGGTCTAATCAGGGTATGATTTGGGGAAACCACGATGTGAAAACTTAAGAGGGGAATTGTTATTGCGAGATGCATACATACACAGATATTGATGTTTTCAAGGTTGATTTAGGAGTGAAAAATGTCTATATTAACCAGCCGACAACTTCTTTTGCGCCAGGAAGATTGAGACTGCATTTCAGCATCGAAGCGGGAGAATTGTAGCAAGATTATTCTCAAAGATTAATCACGGTTGCTAAAGAAAAGAAGGACAAGACCCTTGTATGTGCAAAGATCACTGAAATAAAAGCATCTTAGCTAAGACTGAATAGTGCACGATTTAGCATACGATCCAATGGGAACATATATTGCATTCATGTAACTATGTATAGAGCTGCTAAAATCCCGACAGAGACATGTCTCAAAACCAAATGTTACATCTCTGGTATCAGCACCCCCATTGTACATTCTACATATTCATAGTAATGAAGCGGTGGCACCTAACAAAAGCTATGGATATCTATATTGGCCCTACTCCCGAATAAATTTCTTCTCACCATCGGGTCCCGGCGTGCGGTAGTGCACAATGACGTTTAAATGTTATAATTTACCGGCTCGACTGTTGCCTCGAAAGCTGTTAGATTTGCGTCACCTCACGAGGTAGACTTGCATCCATCTGCGAGAATGGAATGCTGTAGTATCATTCATATTTAGACAACGAGGAGGTATGGAGCCACAGCACAGTGGTTGTCCGCGACACTCTGCAATATATACGCTTCTGATCAATTCAATCCATAACTGCTTTGAGTAACAAAAAAAAAACTCAGAAACCAGGTTATAGTAATGGAGGATACCTGGATAAGGTGCATGGCAGCCATAACTACATATATCTCCCAAACACAGGAGTAGTGTCCTGCGAATATATCTCTTTCAAGCCATTAGGTGATAATAATGCCAGCAGACAAGTGCGGTCCCAATACCAATTGAGCTGGTAACCATCAATCAACTTTCAAATATGAATATGGATAATCACAGACTTTAATCGTAAAGATCTAAACTCGATATTTAGAATCAAGCAATATGCGGAATCCTATGGATATATTATGGCTAGTAAGAATTCCTAGAATCTTCTTAATTTCCTGGAACGCAAGTTTAGTGGTAACAATATACCCACCGAACCCACCAAAGTCATGTCAGCCCACGTACCCAAAGACCTGTTTCTTACAGACGAATGGAATGAAGTCTGACAGCAACGCATGCAGGGTCTAGACTGGTTCTGACAGCTCTTTCAGTGTAATTTGGGGCTGTTTTATCATGATCTTTTGAAATTGGGCTTGCTTTGTGTGGGAAACTGTGTTTCAAGTGCAAGGTTAGTGCCCTTCAGAGTTATTATCCATCATGGAAACTCACTCGTTCACGGGAAAGGCAGAAAATCAAGCTTTCTACAGTTCAACACCATCGAGAGGGAAAACATCGAATGTCATTGACTTTTAAATAGCTTATGATATTGTTCCATGAGCGTGGTGATTGATCTCCTTGGATGGTTCACGACATTGCATATATATTGCTCCATTTAAATATACTATGGTTGTTGAAAGAATTATTTGCCAACACCGGCGTTTGAACCTCAATAGATTTCATACATCATTTTAGAGATGAAGCAAATCTATAAGGATACGAATTAGCCCCTGAAATTCTTTCCAAATTATTCTCTATCATTTTCATCTAAATACACAATACATATCGATCTTAAACCATGGCTCATCAAATTAACAGTGGTACCGTCTTAAAGCCTGCTCCCCGAGTTGTCAACTTCACTAGCTCGTCTGTTTCTGTTGGTGTAGAACTTGAAATGATAATTACGAACCTACCAGACTACAAAGACCACTTTAAGCTCTTCGAGGAAGCCTTCATACCCTTGACTTCTGAGCTCTACCCCAACAAGTCATTCCCACGCAGCGAAGAGCCCTTTCAGATCAAGGATGACTTCTCTATAATTCCTGGGCCGAAATTTCCTAGGGCTAAAAGGGTTGAAGTTGCAACCCCCGTTATGACAGGTGATGGGTCCCAATTCTCATACCATAGTATCATCCCAAAAATGTGCACCACAATCATTTCCACCCTTCCAAAGGACGCCTCGATCGAATTCAATCATACTACTGCGCTTCAGGTCCACATTGGTGTCGGAGATGGAAACACATACTGCCTTCGAGACCTCAAACGCATCTGCAAAGCCATTGTAGTCTTCGAGGACCACATGGACACGCTACACCCCAACTGCCGCAATCCTCCCGATAACGCTAACCCAAATCCTCTTCGTCGATGCTGCGCAAATTTCAAGCTAAAGCTTCTCTCAGACGCCAAGAGGCTCGATGCTATTGATAAGCAGCAGAATGCAGTGGGACTTGTTATGTTGATGAATAGCTGTGTTGGAATGAAGGATTTGCCAAAGTGTTACAAGTATAATTTGCGTTCTCTTGAGAAGTTCGGCACTGTGGAGTTTCGGCAGGCGGTCGGGACAGTGAGAAGTGAGGTGATCGTGGGATGGATCGAGACGGTGATCCGCTTCGTTTCTGCGGCGGTAGGGACGGGGGACGAGGTTTATAAGGGGTGGGCGGAGGGGGGTGCTATCGGGGATGAGGATTATGAGAGGTTTGGGGCGCCGTTGATTAACGTTGACCGGGATATCGATTCTTGGTGGGGAGTTAGGGATTTTGGCGACGCTTGAGGCTGGGTAGCTCTTGCTTTCTGTTCACTGGACTGACCGTTACTAAATTGGCCTCAATATTTTGTTTTTGTGTTTCCGTGTTTGTCATGATGTTATACGACTGGGTGCTTTGTTTTTATTTTTCTCTTAGGTAGGCTTTTCAGTTTAGGAAATGAAATTGTAGGAATGAGAAAATTGCCGGTAGTTTTTCTTTATCTCGATTTACGGAAGGAAGTGCATACCGTACCTGCCGCTGTTTTTATACTCCCACTTGCTGTTTATTCCCGTCCGGCATATATTGTACGCCAATCTTCCATGTCATGAAGAGACTCGGCAATTCCTGCCGCTACTACACGATTTGAGACATATTACACCCGATGGGTTTTGTGAATACATAGATGCGGTTTTCAATACTACATATCATGTGTGTATCAGTAAAGACCTGCAGTTCGTTCATTTCGTAGCTACACATCTTCTTTGCCTCCCAATGAGATCCATGTTTATCTTAACATATAGTTAACCTAATCGGATACTAGACTCTATAGATACATGTAGTCTTTATCTTAGATAATCCGTCTTCTCCTCATATTCTTGGAGACTGGATTCCAGGGTTTTTGTAAAATTAGCTTCCTGTGGATAATCACCACTCGCTACTAAAACAGGAGGTCAGATCACCACCCCAAAAAACACCCTTTCTCATTATTCTTCGATAGTCATATATAAAATGTCTACTAGGTTCCTATCTTAAAAGGAAAGCTCATTTCCATACTTGGTGTGATATTAGTGTAGTTCTTCGTACTCAAAACGACATATGCAAAGAATTTGAGAACCCTTAGATAAGCATTTCTTTCTGTGGTATTCTTTGATATATATTATTTTCTGTAATTTATTTCTTTAGGTGGGGTAGTTACATGTATTTAGCCAAATTTTTAGTACCGTATACAAAATGTAAATTAGAGGCTAGCTAAACCTGCCGGCCGGCGTCTACTCACATCAGGTCTTTGAGATCATAGTCAAGTATGTACTATGCTATGGAATTAGCTGCAAGATACACGAAGTATAAAGTATATATTATACTCCAGAGTTCGAACTACTAATCTATGCTCCTTGTCATTGACCAGCGCTGTGACTATAATAATATTAATAGAGATGGCTATAGCTACCGTTCACCACAACCTTCAGACTAAAGGTCCGTGAATATTCGCCCAACTGTATTCTGATCCTCTACTCGTATTGAACTTTGAGATTGATGATATAATTCATCTTGACCTTAAAATGAGGCTCGGAAGCTATGAAGCAATCATGTGCTTCATACGGAAGCCCAATGAATATCACCTCTATGACTGTGTGAGGATTAATATTAATGACACTGATATACTATTAGGAAGACCCTTCGATGCGGCCAGACTATAAAAAGCCAGTGCACAAACTTACAAGGACCCTCCAAGGATGGAAAATCCATGTATGCTAATACGTACATGTAAGTACATGTATTTATCTGTTAGTCTGTTAAGAGATTTTAACACCCCCAGGTTGATGCCAAGAGTTGGCTCATGCTACTGATCTTCTTATCAAGTACTTATTTATTGACCTCACGCCCAGATTTTGATGCCCTATAAATTTAAGAGAGACAGCTTTAAGAGACTAGCGTATATTACACGGAGTTGTACGTACGTAGTCAATATAGTAGCGGGCTCAGAAGCAATATGATAGGCATGTTTATGTACCTACAGTGTGATTAAGTGATTTTACAACAGTAGATCATAATAACATGCGGCGTGATCAGAGCGTGCAGGATGGTTGAAATATATACATCGATCATGTACCTAAGGCCTAGGACGTATCCAAGCCCAAGTGCCAAAGTACTGTACCATATAGATACCTCGAGACTCGTGTACCAGTACTTGCTGTGACAATAAGCCGCGCCACAGACCTCCCGTTGTCACGCAGAAACGTACTCTCGTGGCGAGTGGAAACACGGGCCAATTTAACCCCCGTCTCATAACGTCACACATCACGGAGCACCGGAATAATCCCCGGCAAACTCCTTGCATGAAATGATCGAAGATCCCTTTATGCTATGTAGATCAAATCAGGCTGAATTCCAGAGTGGGGACAGGGGTAACCGGCGGCGGCGGCAAAGAAGAAAGGAAAGGCTTCTAAAGGCTTCTTTTCCACTTCTAGCCAAGGAGTAGCTACGTACATGGAGATACACACTCCCTCATAAGCAACCGCATGTATTATACTGAACGGAGGAATAACCCGAGACCAAATAAACCCAAAAACAGAAAATAAAGACGTACAAATAAATGCTTTCCCAGGAGTACTCTAGTAGACCGCACAACGGTGCTAATGGTATATCATACTAACAGAGGTAATTGGTAGAATGGGTGGACAGAATCAACCCATTCCCGATACCGGTCAAAGAAAGTCGATCGATCGCATAGAAGGAAAGACGAGAAAGACAAAATAAAGGAAAAGGCTGCAAGTGTAACAAAAGACAAACCATCCCTACCCACAATCTTTATCCGCAAGAAAAACAAAAACTCCTAATAAACAACCCATCATTGCAGTAACTAGGTGTAAGTATTTAACATGCGTGAACACTGATACCATTTCTCTTTCTAACGCCGTTTGCTTCTTTGTAATCGGGGACGTTACTCGAATAATGCGGTTCCTCGATATGCTTCCTATCTTCACTCCCTCTCTTGATATCCTTGGATCCGCTTTTCTGCACCATATAATTGTTCCTCGCCTTGCTATGCTTGGGCCTCTCTCTGGCAGACTTCGTCTTTGATTCTGGTGTCTCTACCCTTTCAATGGTATTCTCCGCTACCTTTAGGCCCGTATCTTTCGATTCCTTTTTAGTGACTTTCGCGTTCTCCAAGGAAGACCCTATTTTTTCATCAATTTCATCTAAATCACTCTCGGGCACTATATTCCCGTTTTTGACCACTGGGAAAGGCCCTCCCAGAACCGCGCTAACATCACCCCACCATCTATCCCCAAAACTCTTATACCACTCTATAGTAGCCTTCACACCCTCTCCAAATTCCGTTCTTTGCTCCCATCCCAGCCCCTTCAGTTTTGTTGCGTCAACGGCATACCGGCGATCATTGAATGGGCGATCCTTTGTATAATCTACCCAATCCTCAATCCGAAACCCAGGGTCATTTGGATTATTTCCGAAATGTGTGATGAGGAGCTTACAGAGATCGATATTGGATATCTCATCTGTAGAGCCGACGTTATAGATTGCACCTATTGTACCACGGTGAAGGATGGTATCAAAGGCGTCAGCGGCATCGGCAGCGTATAGGTACCGACGGGTGTGGAGACCGTCGCCGTGAAGGGTAAGCTTGCTTTGGCGGTGGAGGAGAAGGGCGAATTTAGGAATTATTTCTGACTTTATTAGTTTTCATTCGAGAGTTTATAGGTAAGAATGATGTACTTTCGGGGTATTGGTGAGGCCCATATATATTATTGGAGCGGACAACGATGATTGGGAGTTTAAAGCTCTTCCAGTAACTGTGCACCAACATCTCTGCCGCCGCTTTACTGGCGGCATAAGGATTCGTGGGCGCAAGTATACTTCCCTCAACGAGGTCATCTTCGTCGGCACCTACCTCACCATATACTTCGTCGGTACTCACATGGACAAACTTCTTGAGCATGCCATGGTTCTTCGCACACTCGAGTAATACGTGGGTACCGTATACGTTAGTGTTTGTGAACTCATAGCTATTTCCGAAGCTCAAGTCAACATGTGATAGCGCCGCGAAATGGAAAATTGTGTCTATCTTGTGTTTGCGCAAAACATCTTGAACTTGGGTAGGGGAAGTTATATCGCCGTGAACGAATGTGAAATTTAGTGAGGACGAGAGAGATCGTGTATTGTTCAGGGAAGCGCAGTAGTCGAGTTTGTCGAAACTGACTATATTGTAGGCATCTGGGTAGGTTAGTGTTAGATGACGTACAAGCCAACAGGCGCTGTACAGGGATTAGCTTTAGTATCGTTGCATGAAGAGATAAAGGGAGGCGAACATGAATCCTGCACCGCCGGTGATTAGGATATTCTTTGTGTCTGGTAACGGCTCGAATTTGGTTGTGCCTTTGAGGATAGGAGCCTCCTTCCAGATCTCTGTGTCACGAAAGCGGCGGTGGATGGTGGGTATCGAGTCTTCGTCTTCCGCGCACTGTCGCTTCGAGAGCGGAGTGAGCTGAGAATGAGATGCACGTTTTCCAGGCGCCATCGTGTGGTGTATATTTGTTTCTTTGTTGTAAGGACGAGACGCTGAAAGAGAAGGAAGAAAGGCGAGACACGTTACTACTTGTCCGAAATATTATCCATCCCAATCCCAGCTCACAGACATTTGAGCCGCACAAAGGGCGGAGGTTACGCAGCTCAAAGCTAGGATCGAGAGAGATAGATGAGAATGGGGGGGCTAGGGTAAGATAAATGGGTATTATGAAGGAGGGCAAGGCAAGGCAGGACGAGGGATGTTGGGTAACGTACATACCAGGTTGCCGGGATAGGCAGGAACGATCTCTCAAATGCGAAACTGCACAGGTCAAAAAAGAACGGTGATCATCAACCAAGCTGGATCATGCAAGGGAGTAAACAGCAGCGTAGCAGTGAGCGAGTGAGAGGAGAGAAGAAGGAAAGAAACGATGATGTTTTATTTAATTGTTTCCATTACCCCCCAGTCCAGTGGGTAATTAAAAGGAGAGGGGGGACTAGAATCACAAACACACAAAGGATAAATGTGTCGGGAGGAGGGGGATGGAGGGGAAGAGGAGGGGGGGAAGAGCTGCCGGAACTAGCTTTGGAGAACTCAAAGCCTTGGATACATGTAGATACGGGCCGTAATCTTCACATAACTAGAGCTTACCACATTTTCCTAAATTAGCTGCACATCATTGTCTATGCTGTTCTCCGTTTAATGTAGTTTTATGCACTAGTACAGGGTCAAGACAACGCGAAAGTGGGTTCTCCGTGACTCGATAGTCCTATTGGTATTAGCCCTTAAAAAGTTTTTTGCTGCGAGCACAGAGCTCTGATTTTCGCAATAATTCTACCGGAAACTATACGATATACCTAGGATGTTGTCGCTTATCCCGTGTTGCGCAATAGAGGGCTTGAAATCTGTCCTAGGCGAGGAGAGAAAAGCTAAAGAACTTTTAAGCCTTTCAGGAGGTGCGGCCCGGTAGTACTCGGATCTAACGTGAAGAGGTTCCGCAGATACATAGGGTACATACTCTACACGATGGTTTATTGTTCTTGTTCCTGCATGTGAATGTCTCAGTCACACGAGAAAACACGTCGAAAAAAGTATGATTCAGGGCACAGGTCACAGGGCAGGGGTTTCTATGAATAAACACATGTATCCAAGGAATATCGAGTAATCCCACCCCGGAATAGATAAATTACATATGTACTCTAATCTCGCTAAATCTAAGCCAACTCTGGGACTCGGAATTAAGGTATATAGAGCTTAAGAACATGCACAACTATAGCTACATGTATCTGTGTTTATATGTACGCATGTACATAAAGTACACTCATCATTTGACCAGATTAACTGTAACGTGTCAAAAACAAGTACTCCTGACTTAGGTATTCTGAATCTATAAACTTTCTGTATCAAGTAATACGTTGAATGTTTCTCCGACACTTTTTACCAACTCAACTGCAACCAGGTCATACCTTCAAATAATATGGCCAACGATTGTTTGCTCCGCATCACATTTCATCAGCAGAGAATTGATCCACATCCATGGTACTAAGCAGCTTTCTTTTCATTGGTCTTTCGACCATATTTGCTCCCAACCCCCCTCCAGTACCACCTCCAGTACTGGCCTTCCCATTCTCCCCAATTGCAAGCACCCGGGACTCTCTTGCCGTATCCTTCATCTCCTCAACTGACAGGAGCTCTAAAGAGTCCTGTCTATTGGTAAATCGATTATCACCCACTCCATCACCATCGCCCTCATCATCGTGAATTTCCTCATCAGAAAGTAATCGGCGTTGCCGTTTAGAGCCAGCAATAGGGACCACTTTTATATCATTCACTACCTCAAAGGAGTCTTGTATCTCCCTTTCTTCCTCCAAACCCACCCGCTTTTCAGTTTTAATCTTCCCCACGATATGCAGAATATCTTTCAACATATTGGTTTGTAAATTCTGTTCATCGGCCATTCTATCCTGCTTGATTGCGAGACGCTTCTGCCCCTGCTCGAGGTCACGGAAAATCAAGTCGTGGCAGTGTAGCTTTTGATGAATCGTGTGAAGCGTTTCAAGAAGTGTGAGTTTTGCCTCGAACGTATGGAGTAGATCGGCGGTGGTTTGGGTAAGACGGCGAAGGACTGTAAGCTGTGCATGGACTTTGATGAGATATGTGTTAGAGCTTTGGGGGTGACGTTAAATTTGGATTAGTACAACATACCTTCATCATCTCGCTTTAGAAAGGCAAGTTCGATTTGCTTTTGAGTATGGTTGATTTCCTCTTTGCAAGTATTTAGAAGGGTATTGAGCTCTTGTTGGTGACTTTGGAGCTTAGTTGTTGAGGTTTGGAGGAGTGAATTGAGTTCTTCGGATTGGAGAGCCAGTTTCCTAGACCAGAGAGAGAGAGAGGGAGAAGACATGGCTACTGGTACTAGAGGACTAGGCTGAGAGGTAGATTTCGACATCTGGTCGCAGGGAGGGGGGTGATTTTTGCTATCTTTGCCGGAGGTGCTCATTGAACGCACGCTAATAACAATATATACATCTATGTATAATGCGGTACCGGTGCGGATGTGACCTTCTATTACGCTGTTGCTGCATGTAGGTGCATGTAGGCTTGTACTACCTAGCCCTCCGGTAGGAGGGCCGGAGTACTACGTACATGTGTCCCTCCGACGTGCAGCAATGCCGGGCGCGGGGGCTGTTATATATCGGAGGCCGAGGGGCGGTCGGAACTCAATTTACATACAAAATCAAAGTTTATTTTAGGCCCCGACATGTAAAACAAGATTAATCCAGATACCAAATCACAGTTCAAACGTACCCCGACATAACAAAACCTCCGACCCGAGTAGGGTCCGAGGGTCCGACTAGCCTTGGAAAGTTAATGCTCCAGACCCTACGGTGAGTAGCAAGCTGCTAGTAAGTGATTGGCACGAGACTAGGCCACGGGTACGGGACAATGCCATGGGGACCCTTATCTTACTGCAAAATTTCTCAAAATATTCTCTATGTGTAGGAGTATAAGTCGTCTAGATCATTGAACAGGTATTTACCTATTTTGCTACATGACTAAGCATTACTATGAGACTTGTCAAGCCTCAGGACACTCGCCGAGTGAGATCTTATGCGGAGACACTAACGCCTCACCCCATCCGGGTAACAAACTTATGACCTCACTGCTAAAGAGCCTCTTTTCGCCTGCATTAAAAAAAGTTCAACTACATACACCCCAACCACGCCACACGACGATAGTTATGCTACGCAAAGGCGTGCGGACAAATCAAACAGATCTTCGCCGTTTGTTTGATACTCTCAAGTCCCTCCGCAACCAACGTACTGCAATTACCGAACTCCCAACACCAAGAACCCGTGCAAATGAGGGCACCAGAACTACTGTTCTGGAAGGAGACAAGAAAGAATGGGATTCAATAGAGGCGATGGAGGCTGCGGATGTCATTGATGACAATGAGCCGAGAATCAGGGTTTTTCGCCAGACAATCAAGCCCCCAGAGCTTTTAAAGCAACCGCTCGAGTCACTGTCTGAAACACCAATTCTAGATGCCGCAACTGGGTTGAACAAATCAGTTTCGTCAGCGGTCAGTTTGACAAAAGTAGAGCTGCATTACCTTCGGAAACTGACAAATGCGCTGAATTTCCTTGCGCATTCGCCTATAAGCGTCATGAAGGAGATCTTCTATTGGCTCGAAAGATTCAGGCCGAATCCGAAGGTTTTGCAGCTCCTCACTCCGCATGCGTGGTCGCTTTTGTGGGCGTTAGAAACCAGCCAGATTCCTACATTTCGGAGTAAATTAATTGGGGATATGATGGTTTCTGCGGGAGTTGAATTGAACGAGGATCAAAATATCGCCTATATTGGCGGTTTGTACTGGAACGGAGCTAGCAAGGAGGCACTCACAAGATGGATGCATGGGACCAAGAGGTGGAGAGGATCTGCTAAACACTGGAACCTTGGGATCCGGATGTTCTCGCTCAACCAGGAACCCTATGTAGCAAAATATTGGCTTGGCCAGATGATCACTGCCCTTGGCCAGGCTGAACCTAAATCGTTCATTCCAGTCATCATGTCCTTTAATCATCTATATCACCCACAAAGGGCCTGGGAGACATATAAGGAGATGCGGGGATGGATGAAACGTACCAACACTAAGCTCACAATATCGCAATACGATACTATTTGCATGTCATTCCTTGACAGCGGCCAACAGAGGTATGGCCTGGATGTTTATAAACATATGATTTTTTCGGTGCCCAAGGCTCTCGAAAGAATGCAGACAGATATCTACGAAAACTTATCGAGCGCAGTAGTCGGGGCACAAGAAACGATAAATTCTCCAAAAAAGTTGGCGAACCTCTCACTTGAGTCGCTCCGGGATCTTCCGCCAAAGATCCAGGACAAGTATTTTTATGGAAGCTGGCTTAAGAACTCCATACGTATGGGTAGGACGGATCTTGCGTGGTACTTAGTCCGCGAGGTGATGATCGAGAGAGATTTCCTACCGGATTCGACACATTACAACTGCATTCTTCAAGGGTTTCTGGATGAAAAAAATGTTGAGATGGCAGAGCAGATAGCAGAAGAAATGATCAAGTCTCGATTTCATCAGCTGGAGATGGATAAAGAGAAGAAGGAGTGGAAAGATTGGACAAGTAAAGCAGCTTCCACAGTTGAAATTGACCCCGCGATAAGTACCCCCACGAAGGGTACTCTTACTCCCAGCACAACACCTCCAGCAACTATACAAACCTTCTCCCTCCTCATCAATTACTACTCCCGTCGCAACCGCATGGAAAAAGTCGTCGCCTACACCTCCACAATGTCATCGTGCCAAATATCACCAAATTCCTACATTTTCAATCACTTACTCTACTCGCTTCTCCGTGTCCATGATATCCCGCGTCTTATGCGGACATATCTCATGATTTTATCTTCGGCAGATGTAAAACCAGATATGGAAACATGGAATATCATGTGGATGACTACATGGAAGCGTTATACCCAGAGGCACCGAAGATTCGATGAGCTATTGTCCCCACGGGCGCTTTTCGCGGATATGGCCAAACGGCTTAGTAGAAAGCAGATCAAGGGAGATGAAGAAAAAGAGAAAATGAAAAATATGTGGCACACAGTTATGAAATCATTCATGCTTTCTAGAGACTTTCCTGGCGCCCTCATAGCTCTACATGTTGGCATAAAATTGTGGGACATGAAGGTGGATGATACAGTAGTGAGGGAGATTGTATTTGGGACTATGCGGGCTGGTTCTTGGGATCCGGATCGTGAGGAGAGGCCAAGGATCCATCCAGAGATGATCGATGGCTGGGTGGAGAGATTGCGGTCACAGGCAAGGTACTTTTTGAGGCACAGGAGGAGGAGAGGTGATAGGAAGACGGTAGGGTTATGGAGGAGCGTGAAGGATCCAGAAGGGCTCTTGGAGGGATTGACGTCGCTTTTGAGGGATAAGTTAGGTGACGAAGCAAAGGTCAAGGAGATATCCGAAAGGGCCAAGGTAGAAATGGGAGTAGAAGGTTTGAAGATTGATTAACTGGGAAATCTTTTTTTATTTTTTATTTTAAAGTTAAAGTTAAAGTCTTAGTGTTGACCGTGGGTGTAATATATGCATCATACTGTATATTAATCAGAAGGCATAAAGTACATGTTCCTCTTAATTCGATGGTACTGATGAATTATGCTAGTAACCCAAGTATACCTACATGTAATACTACATGTAGTGCATGTAATCGACTCGACAAGGCCTGGAAATCTTACTACTCTACTGCGTATGTTTGTAGATCTATATTTCTGTAATCAGAATACTTTACGGATAAACTCTTAATACATAACGTAAGAATACTACTCCTTTCGAGTTTGGCTTTTCATGACTGGGACTTATGGCTGATTGTGTAGGTATTCTATTGGTGTACGTACTTTATGTAGACATGTACCGGGGGTTAACCATAAATACCGAGAATCTGATAAGATAAACACACCTATTTCACAGCAAGATTCTCTTATCAGATTCTTCGTATTTACCCTCAACGCCCGGTACATCTCCTAATATATAAAAGGTCAGGACGGAAAGAAATTTCGCAAATGGCGGGTATAAATGATTGGCCCCTAAGATCAGAGAGCCTAACCCTGCGCCCAGGCACCCTACATAGAACGTTAAGGGTGTACTGGAATATGCCGGAATTAACAGGCCTCAATAAGATGATTGTTCTGTTTACTCCGCCCGGGAAAGGACTTCCAATGGCAAAAAGGTCCCAGGCCGGAGTTGCAGGGAAAAGAGGAACATAAGGCTTTATTTCATTCACCAACCTGGTTTAAATTGATAATGAAATGGTTCCGGTTGGTAACAAACGGGAAAACCACTAGTATGTACATACATACATATGTATTTATCAATCATCTTTACAATACTCTGGTTACACCAAGTCGTGTGCACCATACATGCATCTGCGCCTAGACGGACAACGCATGGAATAGGTAGACAAGGCTGAAAGTTGAGTACCTACATGATCAGTAGGCAGCTCTGGTTTAACCTCTTTAACTCATACATCTTCACGACTTTCAACAATCTTTTCTATTCTTGCCATCGGTGGCGGATTTCAACAAAAATCCCTATCATGGAAGCGGTTGGCCTTGCAGCAAGTATCATTGCCATCATCCAGTTATCCAGCAAACTGGTCTCTATAACCTATAATTATATCAGCGACTCCCAAAAGGCACCAAGAGATGTCAAAAACCTAGCCAACGAGTTACACACCCTCGTAGGGGTTCTTGACAACCTAAAGGATTACTTAGACGAAAATCCTTCGTCCCCAGCTCTACAAAAGCTTGTAGGGAAGGGCGGGCCGATCCAAGTTTTTACCGAGGAGATGAATGCACTCTATCGCAAATTCAGTGCAATCGACTCTTCAAAGCTTACTGCGAAGCTTGGCTGGCCTCTCAAGGATAAGGATATCACGCAGACACTCTCGAGTATTGAGCGACATAAGACGGTTTTTATTTTTGCTATGAATGTAGATCAATTGTGAGCGGGTCTGGCTACCAGAATCCGGTCTTGAGGGTCATGCTGACATTATAATATTAAGATCATTATCAAGAGCGATAGAGGCTTATGTGATTGATATTGATGATGCAGTTAAATATATCAACGCCTGTATTCAGGGCACATCTTCCGCGGTGCAGGAGATCAAGGAGGACGTTAAGAACACAACTTCTACGGTTCAGGAGATCAAGGAGGATGTTAAGAATACAGCTGCTACGGTTCAGGAAATCAAGTCTGATGTGGGGGGTACCAATGTAGCTATTCAGGCTCTTCAGTCTACTCAAGACGGTAAGATGGCAGAACCGTCTACTTGATTTCACTAACCGGTCTTTAGCGGAAGATCGTATAAAGATATTGAACTGGTTATATCCAGAATCTTTCGAAACAAGGCACCTTGAAATCAGTGGAAGACGGCGGGAAAAAACCGGCGAATGGCTTTTAAAATCTGCCGAGTTTGTTGAATTTGTCAGAAATAATCAAAGTTCACCGATACTATGGGGGCACGGTATTCGTAAGTACATACGGCCCTCCTTTATAATACAAATGTTCATACTAATTAGGAATAATTATACAGCTGGTGCAGGCAAGACATTTTTGAGGTAACTTTACATAAAACCCTGTCTCCAAAATCAACTTCCTTGGCTTAACTGGGCTCTTAGCTCTGCAGTTATCGATCACCTCCAAACCGAGGCACGGAAAAACAATTATATGGTATCTTATATCTACTTCAACTACAAGGAGCAAAAGCAACAGAAACCCCTTCAGATCCTTGCCAGCTTGGTCAAGCAGCTTGCCTGTCAGACATCACAACTTCCCAGCTACATCGTTGACCTACACACCCGGCTCACAAAAGAAACTAAACAGCCTACTGAACAGGAATTATATTCCGCCCTGGTCTCAACTTTGAAAGCCTTTGGGCGAGTCTTCTTTGTTTTCGATGCTTTGGATGAATGCCATCAAACCGACCGACGGACAACTCTCTTACCATTGTTTCACCGCATGGTCGGAGAAAATCCGAGCATAAGGATTTTTCTAACGAGTCGACAACACCCCGAAGATATTCAGGCCTCGTTTGAGAAGTCAGCAAAGGTCGAGCTTCGAGCCAACGACGAAGATATAAAGCTCTATATTCAGCAGGAAATCAACGAAAACCCCCGGGCAAAGAGTCTTACTAGTAAAGGCGATCGCCTGAACACGATTATTTCAAAACTTACAAAGGCAGCAAATGGGATGTAAGTAGAGCAAAAGCCTTAATCAATTGACATATTCATATACTAACGGCGACTAAACTCAGGTTTCTACTAGTACACTTCCATATTGATCTCATCTGTCAACAGACAACACCCAGAAAACTCATGGCTGAGCTTGAGAGGCTTACACTCGATGGCTCGAGACCAGAAAGCAATCCCTTGGATCCCACCTATAATAGAGCTATAGAATCGATCCGTTCTCAGCCCGCAAATTTTGAACTGGCAAAAAGTGTCTTTACCTGGCTCGTGAAGGCTCAGAGAACTCTTTCCCTCGACGAGCTTCAAATTGCGGTATCTATGGAACCCGGTATCCGTGAGCTCGAAGAAGCTGATTTGCCAAACAAAAAGACTCTTCTCGATGCTTGTGCTGGGTTAGTGATAATTGATGAGAAAAGCGGGATAGTGCGTCTTGCGCATTACACAGTTCAGGAATATCTATTGAGAGTCCTTCTGATTCCTGAGGAGGCCAATCTATATATTGCCACATCTTCTATATCATTTCTCATGCTCGATATATTCGGTGGTAAGGCTAACGTCAACTGGCCTGAATATGATATATTCGGTCGTAAGGCTAAAGTCAATTACTGGGAATATGATGACTTTGGTAGTAAGGTTAAAGTCAACAGGAAATATAAGATCTCCGGTTCAGAGACTATCTTCCAATGGCCCGAACATGATTCTCCCTTCTTAGAGTATGTAGTCATGCAGCTACCATTCCATCTAAGGCATTGTGATGAAAAGTCGACAACGGAACCCATCCTTAAGCTCTTCGGAGACCAGAAGAGGGTTGAGTTTTATTCGCGGACAAGAAATCTTTATCTCAAAGCTCGCATGGGAACGGTGTATGGTTGGTCCTACGGCGCACCTATACCTAAACAATCGCAATTGCAGTTGTTATCCATAATAGGTCATTTCTCAGCGCTTCGAATTGTCCTCGAACAAAAGGATGATGTCATGACAAGATGCGATAAATATCATGGATATACCGCACTGCATTATGCAGTGAATGAAGCACATATTGAAGTTGCCCGACTGCTCATCGATCATGGTGCAGATGTCTCCGCGAGGGACTCAGGCCAAAAAACACCGCTGCATGAGGCACTGGAGAGGGGACACCTGGAAATAGCTCGACTACTCATCGATCATGGTGCAGATGTCTCCGCGAAGAGCTCATACCAAAGTACACCGCTGCATGAGGCAGCCGAGGAGGGATACCTGGAAATAGCCCGACTACTCATCGATCATGGTGCAGATGTCTCCGCGAGGGACTCAGGCCAAAGAACACCGCTGCATGAGGCAGCGGAAAGGGGACACCTGGAGGTCGCCCGACTGCTCATCGATCATGGCGCAAATGTCTCCGCGTCCACGAGTGGCTGGACAAATGGCACACTACTGCATGTGGCAGCGGCAATGGGACACCTGGAGGTCGCCCGACTACTCATCGATCGTGGTGCAGATGTCTCCGCGAGGGACTCAGGCCAAAGAACACCGCTGCATGAGGCAGCGGTAATGGGACACCTGGAACTAGCCCGACTGCTCATCGATCATGGTGCAGTTGTCTCCGCGAAGGACTCAGGCCAAAAAACACCGCTGCATGAGGCAGCGGTAATGGGACACCTGGAGGTCGCCCGACTGCTCATCGATCATGGTGCAGATGTCTCCGCGAAGGGCTCAAGCCAAAGAACGCCACTGCATGGAGCAGCGAAAAGGGGACACCTGGAAATAGCCCGACTGCTCATCGATCATGGTGCAGATGTCTCCGCGAAGGGCTCATACCAAAAAACACCGCTGCATAAGGCACTGGAGAGTGGACACCTGGAAATAGCTCGACTACTCATCGATCATGGTGCAGATGTCTCCGCGAGGGACTCAGACCAAAAAACACCGCTGCATGAGGCAGCCGAGGAGGGATACCTGGAAATAGCCCGACTGCTCATCGATCATGGTGCAGATGTCTCCGCGAAGAACTCAGAACAAGAAACACCGCTGCATAAGGCACTGGAGAGGGGACACCTGGAAATAGCTCGACTACTCATCGATCATGGTGCAGATGTCTCCGCGAGGGACTCAGACCAAAAAACACCGCTGCATGAGGCAGCCGAGGAGGGATACCTGGAAATAGCCCGACTGCTCATCGATCATGGTGCAGATGTCTCCGCGAAGAACTCAGAACAAGAAACACCGCTGCATAAGGCACTGGAGAGGGGACACCTGGAAATAGCTCGACTACTCATCGATCATGGTGCAGATGTCTCCGCGAAGAACTCAGACCAAAAAACACCACTGCATCAAGCAGCGTACCGGGGATACCTGGAAATAGCCCGACTGCTCATCGATCATGGTGTAGATGTCTCCGCGAAGAACTCATACCAAAGAACACCGCTGCATGAAGCAGCGGAAATGGGACACCTGGAGGTCGCCCGACTGCTCATCGATCATGGTGCAGATATCTCCGCGAGGGACTCAGACCAAAAAACACCGCTGCAACTAGCAGAAATGGGGCGGAGTTACCAAACGTTTCGCTTTCTGGAAAGTTGTGTTGAACGCTTACCCGTATCCACAAAGTGCCTTGTTCATGATACACAGCATAATTCCACCAGAAAGCGGGAACGTCCAGAAGAATCCGAGCAGTTAGAAGCTCGCAAACGACGCGCGTTACTTGAAAACAGACCAAGTCTCGAAGGCCAGTCCAGTGATACACTTCCCTCGATAGACAGCGTTATGGACATGGGTTTGTGATCAACGAATATATATAGGCGGGGGCGGGGCTGTTGTCTGTGTGGGGTGGGGGGGATTATGATTCCTATCTGTTTTCGTTATCGGAGGCTGGAGTGGCACTATGGGATTTTGGAAGGAGTATTGATGCGAGGATCTTTGTTTTCTTCTTTTCGAATTTCTTCTTCCTTTCGAATTTCTTCTTCTTTTCGAATTCCTTCTTCCTTTCGAATTTCTTCTTCTTTTGATTTTATTCGTATTTCGTCGTTACACTCTTCTTTTTTCCTTCATGGACTGGCGCATTTGTTCTGGGTATGGATCTATATCTCTTGGGTTATAAAAACGCGTTCTCTCTCCTTTCTTTCTACAGTACTTACCAAATTGACTCATAAAATTCGGTGATATTATATAAAGGATGCGATGTAACTGATCAAGTCCCTTAGACGGCTTACTATGATTATAAATACTAAACTTCTACGAAGATTGAAAACACTGGGAATATGTTATGATATCTATTATCTATCGATAAACTACTTCTAAGACCCCGTTTTGCTATTTGATATGTCACAACATAATATCACGGGTTCGATCCAATCACAGAATCTCACTCGAGCAACCAATCACTTGCAACCCTGCGGTTGCCTCATTCACCACCAAACTCGAGCCTCATAATGGCCTCCCTAGAGTAGGTCACCACATGCAGAGCACAACCCAAACAGACTTACACTATAGCTACAGCATCCTACATCGACCCAAATTGCAACCCCCAGCCATACATTAAGCCTCATCCTTGGCACGCCCACCACCACCACGGTCCACCCACCGCCCTCGACCACTCACTCCACCACCCTCCACCACCACAATGTCCACCCGCAAGCGCCCGCCCCCAAACCCCCTCGACCCCGACTCCGACTCCGACACCAGCAGCCCCCCCACCAGCAAGAAGCGCCCCTTCCAGCAGAAGCCCCCCCCAACCACCACCACCACCACCACCGCACCTCCACCGCAGGCCGCCAACGCCGCCTCCAACGACGAAGATGACGAAGACGACTACATGAACATGACCATCGCCGAGCCCACCCTCCCCGAAACATTCTCGCAGCGCAAGAAGCGCCTGCAACTCGAAGTACCCCCTCCCCCCCTCCCCTCCCACCACCACCACCACTAATACCCCCAGGCCGAAACCCGCGCCCGCCCAAAATCCAAAGCCGAGCTCGCAGCACTCGAAAAAGCCAACCGCGACGCCGCCCTCGCAAAGTCCCTCCTCGACACCCAAACACCCAACAAGGGCCTGCTGATGATGCGCAAGATGGGCTTCACGCCCGGGTCCGCCCTCGGCGCCCCCACCGCCAGCACCAACACAGCCAGACTAGAGCCCATACCCGTCACGCTAAAAGAAGACCGCACCGGCATCGGCCACGCGTCCGCGCAGCGCGCCAAGCTCGCCGCAACCGCCCCTCCCACCACCACCACCACCACCGCCGCCGCGCAGCTCTCGCCCGAAGACTACCGCGCGCGCGTCGCAGAAGAGCAGGAAGAGCGCCGCCGCGAGGCGCAGCTGGTCGCTGCCCAGAAGCTGGCCGAGGAGTTTGAGTGCGAGCGCTCTGGCAGCAGCGTTGGTACACGCGCGGTGCCGCTACGGAGTATCAATGTGCTGTGGCGCGGCCTGGTGAAGCGGCGGGAGGAGAAGGAGCGCGAGAGGCGGATGAGGTATGATCTGCTGCAGAGCCTGGACGCGCCGCGGCTGCCGGGGTATGATCGCGACTGTGAGCTGGATGAGGTTGATAAAGCGGCGTTGGGGATCACGGTGCCGGGGCTACGGCGGCCGGCAGGGACGGTGGTGGTGGAGGATGAAGGGGAGGAGGGGGATGAGGTGGATGAAGAGTTGGAGAGGGAGGAGGCGAGGAGTGCGGGGGAGAGGGTGGCGGCGTTGTGTGAATACCTCAGGAGGCAGTATAGGTATTGCTTTTGGTGTAAATGTAGATATGAGGATGAGGAGATGGAGGGGTGTCCGGGCGTTGAGGAGGACCTGCATGGATAGTCAGGTAGTTAATTGGAAATGGAGCGTGTACGATATTAGCTATTGTTTCTTTAGGGGTTAATAATTGAGCGGATTGGGATTCTTTAGAGGGGTTATCGGTAGTCGAAATTCAAAGTTACTAATATCCAAAAAAAAAACATGGGCCTAGTCTGACCAAGCACCACACACAGCCGAGTGATCCACCATGACCCACCACCCATCCCCATCCCCATCCCCACCCCCACGCCCGTCCCTAACCCGCCCCCCACCCTTCAGAAGCCCCCAGACCCTCCTTGACACGCGCAGCCACGCCAACCAGGCATCCAGGCATCCAGCGCAAAAAGAAATTTACCCCAGGTGAGATTCGAACTCACGACTTTCGCATAGCTGCATACAAGTTACCCCTTTCGGAGATGTTACTTTGTATAAGAACGACACGCTAACCGCTGCGTCACGGGGGTATCCAGATGCCTGTCTGGCGCAGAGGTGCTATTTGAACGAGCAGAGTGCTTGGCTGCAGCGGAGGCGGGCGGTTAATTAACTGCGGTTATCAGGTTTGGTGCGCATGTTAACATTCCAGAGCTGCTGACATAGTGACGACCCCGCGGTGGAACTCCGTGTGGAGAGGGATCGTTGGTATCACCGCCACGCCGCGAACTACAAATATGGCCGCAACACTGCGATGTCGCTGGATGGAGAGGTTGGGGATTGAACAATTATTGAAGCTGCGGATTAAGCTGTGAAGTTCTTCGCTTCCGCTTTTATCGCCCATTGAGCTACACAATAAGCTAGCAGCTACTTACTTACTACATGTAGCTATGCTCACGATCCTTACAGAGCAGCTGTGTCCCAAAATAGCCCCAGCTCTCACGAACCTGCATACTCCCCCACAATCCCACACCGAAACTCCTACAGACTCTGACTCTGACTCTGACTCTGAGAGCAACTAGCCAGCTAAAGATCTCGTTTACGCACAAAAACATGGGAGCTGGCTTCATCCCCACTGCAGCCCCCCGACGACAGGGACAGAACTGCATGAACTGCATGAATCCCCACTGAAGCTCTCCGACGAAGGGGACAGCTATGAGTCAATTGCAGTTCTACGCTAGGTCTTTGGGAGAGAGAAAGAAAGCATAAATACCGAGTCCATTGAGCAGACAGACGAGCAGAACAGCAGGCAAACAAGCAATTGCGCAAGCAGACAAAGGACTCATCTCTCTCCCCACACACACACACACACACCCCCCGCAACAATGACCTCTCCCCCCGCTCCCGCCCCCGACCACTGGTCCTCCGCCTCATACACCCTCACCGCCCCCTTCGTCCCCCTCCTCACCACCCGCCTCACCGCCCTCCTCGCCCCCCTCCCCACCGACACAATCCTCGACCTCGGCTGCGGCGACGGCGTCCTCACCGCCCAGCTCTCCCACCAATGCAAACACATCGTCGGCCTCGACGCCTCCCCGTCCATGCTCGCCACCGCGCAGCAGCAGTACTCGACGAGCAACACGACCTACGAGCACCTCGACTGCCGCTACCTCAAAGCCTTCGCGCAGCGCCACGAGCAGCGCTACACCAAGATCTTCTCCAACGCCGCCCTCCACTGGATCCTCCGCGACCCGGAGACACGAGCGGATGTGTTCCGCGGCGCGTTCGAGCTGTTGCAGCCCGGGGGTGTGTTTGTCGCGGAAACCGGCGCGCACGGTAACGTGGCGGAGGTGCACACGGCGCTCATCAGCGCGCTGGTGCACCGCGGGGTTGATGTTGGGGCGGCGGTTGCGGCGTCTCCGTGGTACTTCCCGACGGAGGAGGGGGTGCGGGCGTTGTTGGTTGGTGCCGGATTTGCCGTTGAGGCTGTGGAGACGGAGTTGCGGCAGACGGTGCTGACGGAGGTGGAGGGCGGGGGCGTGGAGGGGTGGGTGAGGTTGTTTGGGGAGAGCTTTTTGAAGGCCGTGGGGGAGGGGGAGAGGGAGGCGGTGGTGAGGGAGGTTGTGAGGGTGTTGGAGGCGGTGGGGAGGAGGGAGGAGGGTGCGATGGCGGTGAATTATGTGAGGTTGAGGTTTGTGGCGAGGAGGCCGGTTGAGTAGGGGGGTTTGTAGAATAGTTGAATAAAAGCTTTTTATATATAGGGGAGTGATATATAGCGCGTAGTTCCAAAATCATCTAGTTCTAACCTGTAGACTCATTAACAGTGACACACCCAGTAAAGAATCTTGACACTTCTAGACCTTCAATAGCACGCATCCACTCGTAAACACCCAATCTACACCGTTCCAAGTCCCAGTAACGGCATTCCTGTCCGCTGCATGGAAAACTCCTTAGCCAAACCGAGTGAGAACCTATGACCTCCCACCCTAACCCAACCCACATCCCATCTCTACCCAGCAGCTAACGCCCGATATATACATGTAGTACTTTCAATCGTAGTTAGTAAACCTCCGACTAAAAGCCTACATAACGCGCACATCAAAGCCCGTATGTGTGATAAACACGGTCACAAATTCTCACTCGACCGCCTGCGCCTAGCTTTGGTGCTACACCGTCTACGGCTTACACACAGTACACTCTCTTACTGCGACCCATATACATGTACATGTAGTATCACACGTTCCGCCTCAAGATGCTTACATATATACACTTAGTACCCTCGTAATTATAACAGAGCCAGACAGAAATACGTTGTGTATCCACAGCATATAAATTAAAAATAGCCCCCGACCCAGAACTAGAAAAGGAGATGGTCACTTCCGCCTGATCTCCTTACGCTCGGTGTACGTTTATTAGTTGAAGTTTTTAATGTATACTATTCCCGGCACCCCGCCTCTGCAGCTGCGACTACAGATCAGCACGTTGCCGACAACTCCCCGGCCCCGGAGACTGACAGTACTTCTTGTACGTACCCCAGGACCATGCAACCTGGCCCTGAATCGACCATATCCATCTGCAGCGCTACATCCGCCCCCCCCCCCCCCCCCGCCCCCCCCAATACGCCCCGCTTCGGCACTCCGTGAAAACTACTCGTAGCAAGGTGTACATATCTTCACCTATCCACCCCCCTCTAGCTAGCTCTACTAATTATGAGTCTCCCTTTATGCATGCTTCCTACGGATCCGTTTCTCCGCACTAGTCCCCTCGGGTCCGTCATTGCCCCATGTCTTATTTCGTGCTCATCGGTGACCACGTCCCTATGTAGACAGGTTACTTGGGCTCTGCTTCGCGGTAATTCCTGCCGGGCTTCACGGATTCTCACTCGCGCTCTTTTTTCTGCTGATTACTATCGTCGTAGGGGCTGGTTACATGCTGTTTTTTTTTTCGCGTGATGGGCGAGTGAGGGCTTATGATTAGCATAGTATCAAGACTGGGATGGTGCATCGGCACAGGAATCCTTTTTTATTCGCTTTTGCAAAAGCTTGTGGTACAGGCACTCGAAATTCAAGCCCGCATTCACTCCTGAATCTTCCCGCCCCTCCAACGGAATCCCGCAGCATCGCAGTTGAGTAAATCCTTTTCAATTCCCTCCCGCTCTTCCTCTCACAACAGACGGTATCACTAACCACCACAACAGCTATACAAAGCACAAGAAACAACAACCAATAACATAAAGAAGAATAAAAATAGAAGAAAACAATGAAAAGAAGAAAAAAACAGGAGGAAAAAAGTAATAACACAAAAAGGTTATATTAGCTACTGTGCGCCTCCCCCCTCCCCCCTCCCCCCGGCCCCCGGCCCCCGCCCCCAAACGTCAATTACTCCTCCTCATCCTCCCCCAGCTCCGAAATAACCTTCTCCACAACCTGGATAAGCTCTGAGATACCCGGCCTCTCACTCGGCTCCACCTTCAGGCACATCCTGACCACCTCCTTCACGCTCTCGCTGACCTTCTTCTGCCCCGGCTTCCTGCCGCCGAGGCGGCCTTCCTCCGGGAATGTGTAGCTCCCTGAGCAGACTGCGAGCGCGAGACTCCCGCCAGACTCCTCGGTGGCTAGCTCGAATGGGGAGTGGCCGTATAGGGCACAGTACAGGGTGCACCCCATTGACCAGATGTCAACCTTGTCGTCGAGGACGGAGCCGGTCTTGACGTCAAAGAGCTCAGGGGCACGGTAGGGCATTGTAGAGTTCTCGGCGGCCGAATCTTGGACGGAGAGGGCGAGGGTGCGGGAAGTGATTGGTGTTGGCGAGGGAGTCAGGGAGCCAAAATCCATTAAGATGGGGGTTAGGCCGTCATCATCAATCATCACGTTACCTGTTGTCTTATTAGCGGTGTAGCAATGGGGGGATATTCTGTCACTAACCAGGTTTGATATCACGATGCGCATACGCCCTAATATCACCCTCTTGCCCGCCCTCCCTCTGGCTCCGCACTTCACTTGACATCAACGGCTGCGCGCCCTCCTCCTCCGCGCCCTCAACTCCTCCCCCAACTCTCACGCCAGGCTCCTTAAGCCTATGCTGATGCAGCGCCTTTAGGCCCTTACACACCCCCAAGAACAACCTCATCAGCTTCCCCTCGGGGAAGACCGTATGGTTGATCAAGTTTGCATTAATCGCATCCTGCAGATTCCCCCTCCTAAAGTACGGTAGCAAGATATACACCGTCTTCTGCGTGCCATCATCCTCGCTGTCGCGCCCAATCATCGTGGCCCCGCTGCGGCCCGAGTCGGTCGTGATGGTGTAGTCAATCGACTTGATTATGTTTGGGTGCGAGAAGAGCTTGTAAGCTTCGACCTCCTTCATTGCGCGCTGGACGGACTCCTGACCGAACGGGCCTGCGAGGTGTTAGCTTTGAGGGGCGGAGGGAGAGCGCGGGGAGAGTTACAGCGGATCTTCTTGAGGGCGTAGAGGGCGCCGGAGGTGTCTTGCACGAGGTAGACATACGAGAACCCGCCCTCACCGAGCAGCCGAAGTATCTTGAACGAGCGGTGGTTTATGGTTAGGTTTGGCGACGATGGGAAGCATGACATGCACGTTGTCATGGAATATACGAGATCGAGGAAGTATTGTGTCATTTTGGCGGTCTGGAGCTATGTGGTATGAAAGGTATGTGAATCTGTCTTTTATTTCCCCGCGCAGCGGTGGTGGTGAGCTAGATAGCTAGAAAGATGAGTGAATGGGTCGTTGAATAGGTATTATTGCGATGCAGTGAGAGCTGTCAGGGTATGGTAATGGTGAATTGTAGGCAGGTACTGTGGTGTTGTGGGCTTTGGGATGGGATTGGCGGTTGTGGGAAGCTTTGTTTCCGGCAGAAAGAGAGACATAGCCTCATGGCCGCGTTTGCGATGGAGCTTGGTATCACGTGACGTATTATATAATGCGCTATTTATAGATCTGTGCTGAATGTGTCCAGCTATGAATATTGGTATGTAAATCTGGCTTTTGAAGGCTTAGTAGGGAGAATGTGGCTAATTGTTTTCATAACTCAAGGTGGTTCTAATTAGCTAAACCAACGACGTTTAGCATCTGGCGTATGCTTGAATCTTTCAGACTCCTCTAGCTACCAGGTGGGAATGCAACCGTCCGCCTCACTTCAGGTCTTGATTGTAAGAAGCTCAAAGGCCTAATTGACTTCTGGCTTTTATGGCAAACCAAACAAAAGATGCGTTGATGAATACAAGGATTAAGAGATATTAACAAAGATGAGCCCGCAATACGCACACAGTTATGAATCGCAACTTCTAGTCGTGGTACTAGCTATAGTAAAGAACAACGGTCCTACAGGAATTAGAATCCTTAAAAAAAAAAGAACTCTATTATGGCCGGAAAGTAGCGGAGAAAAGACAGTTTTCAGAGTTATATCTCAAGTTGGTCCGAGACACGCCTATTAAGCCTTCTTTAAATAAAGCCAGCACTTGGGATGGGCGAATTTCGATTCTGCTGTGCAAGCAATAACTACAATAATCTTTGAATTCAATTATTCGTGATCATACTATCTCACTCATCGTTTTTAGTCTACGTGACGATGTCGAAAAAGCACCAGATCATGTTTGCTCTGTTATCCGGCCTTACAGCAAGGAGGGAAGAAGACATATAAGCCAAGGGATCCTGGATACCTTACATCGGGACTATAAAATTTCATTCCGCAGTGGTTAAACTAGTCTTGCTAGTCAGTGTTCGAGAAGCTTGGCATAGGAAGAAATTTGGGTCTACATCCTCAGTCCACAACGCTCTATTTGTTCCAAATTATGATGATAGGAAGAGAAAAGGAGGAAAACTAATTAGCAGTACGCAGCCCCTTGCATGGCTCTATTAACAGAACATCTTTCCACACCCCTAAGATCTCTTTCTACAACTAATCTCGCCAAATTACCTCGTATATCATCGTTTCACGATTAACCTTCTCCTGAGATCCACTCATGATCATGGATCAATCGGATAAACTACCACGATAATTTGCATTATCTCTGGAGTTTTCCCCGTCATACCTCCTTCCTTGCTTGACCAACTGGGAGATTTCTGTTGCGCCTTGCCATCAAGGTTATGCTATTTAGACTTCGTCTAGAAAATCCAAGTGACCAACTATGATATCCACTTTATGGATCATCAGATCTCACTCGTCTATTGTTAGGACGTACAGCCATGTCCGCAAAGGTTTTACACCCTACTTAAAATCAAGAATTACAACAAATAAAGTATCTTGCGATCTCCCTCAGTACGGAAATACCTAACTATAAATCTTTTTTTGTCGTTCATTTCCCGCTGTTGATATCACGAGTTGAGCTCGGCCTCGATGATCCCCGGGTGCCAAAACTTTGCGGACACGGCTTTACGTTGCTTGGCATGCATGGTCAAACACAAAAACTGAACAGCATTTCATAAAAGAGGGTGGCCAGCTGTGGGTCATGCTGTACTTCGTCGTGGTACTTGATTGTCATGGCAGAGTTAGGTTTCTCTAGCCCCTCTTACCCTCGCCTTGCCCCGCCCCGTTAAGTATTACTTCCGGGCCACTGACAGTTGTGTGGGCGAGCGTGGTCTAGTGGTAGACAGCTCGTCTTGCTACACCGAGTGGGTTGAGTCCCCATGACCATCAGTAGGTCATGGGTTCAATTGAATTCCAGGGGCGGGAGTGATGCTGTGGGGTGTATATTATATA